GCTTTTAAAATGGAGATTGGATTCAAATAAAACACATTGGAGAAGCTGGTCTGTTTTTTTTTTTTTACTTGTGCACAGCTGTTTTTATTTGATTTTATTTGGGGCTTTTTTAAAATTATTATTCTGGAGTTTTGTACGGAAGCAGTTACGTGTGTTGGGGTCATTGCTTAAGTGCAGTGTAGAGTGTCTGTTGTGTGCTGTCATGGCTGTTACTAAGTGATGACTAGTGCAAACCAAAAGCCAGATTTTCAAACCCATAATTCACTGTGTTGGCTTGTACAAAATCTGTCTATTTAATAGTCATATGTTTTTGTTTAATCATTCACCACATTATTAAATTCAGTTTCCAAAATGGTACTCACCCTGGCCTAATGAAGCATGCACTCTGTTTGCAAAGGTGTCACTTTATAACCCGATTCTAAACTGGCATGCTTGAATGCTGGCAGCTTATAGTTTAATTTTTTAATGTGCATCAATATTTCCATTCAGTTGGAATAAGTGTGGTGTAGCCTTCTATGAGCAACTTGGATCAGAGGCTATGATTGGGCGGGCACAGTGTGAAAGCTTTGCATATGACCAGACCGGCAACTGCTGAAGTGATGGAAGTCACGTCACGTGTAGTAAATGCCCTTTCACATGTGCCTTTTACTTAATCACAGTGCTTTGACTGGAAAGAAAATTGTAATCGATCCTTAACCTTTCCGATTAGCAATATATGTCAAGTGAGCCAGTGACAACAACATTTTTGCAGACATCATGTTAAACACAATTTTGCAGCTCTATTTTTTGACAATAATTCAGTGATTTATTCTCAGATTACATAAAAAAATAGTTCCAAAGTGCTGTTGTAATCGAAATACATAATAAACATGGGACTTGATCAAGTTGAGTTCATCGAATGAATACATCAAAATGTAGGTAGCTTTGTTGAAGGGCTCAGTTTGTGTTTGATCTGCATCTGCATGGGAGGTGTGTGGCGCAGTGGATTAGTGCGTTGGTGTTCGGATCAGGGGAGCACAGGTTCAAACCCCACTGCAGTCAGCATGTCGTTGTGTCCCTGGGCAAGACACTTTACCCCAAATTGCTTCTGTGGGGATTGTCCACAGTATTGAGTATGTAAGTCGCTTTGGATAAAAGAGTCTAACAAGTGACATGTAATGTAATTTCCCTTTAAGCCTTAAGCAGGAAAGATAATACAGCTGTCCGATGATATTACAGCCACTTGTGACTCTGCCAATCCAGACAGGCTTTCATTCTGTAAGGTTGACCCATGCTTGCTGTGCTGTGGTGTATTAGCGCAGTGCAGTGCTTGCTGGCTAGCTGCGCTTCTTTATCATAGCCAGCAGGAAACAGGAAGGGAGCAGCCAGCTGCAAGGTCAGAGGTCAATCTATAGCATGAGGGGGATGGTGGACAAAACACTAGTGTTCAGAAAAAAGGGTTTGGCTTCTGGACGTAGTTAAGAATGAGTGAGAGATGAAAAAGAAAACTCTAAGGACATGTGGCAATCTGGAGAAGGTCAGCCAGCCATTATCTGTTTTCTGCTGTCGCCTATTGACTCTGCATTATGCATCTTGGCACAGCAGCTTAAAGAGCAGCACAGTTGTAGGAGCGCAGGCTAATGCCCAGTGTGCACACACACGCACGCACGCGCACGCACGCACACACACAGGGCTGATATTGTAGGATGAAGGGACATCGACTGACAGAGACAGAAATATGCTAAAACTGATACCGGCTTCTCCTGCTACATATGAGATAAGATTTGAATGTGGATCTTAGGGTTTTGAAATCATATTCAGCCTCTCTTTGTAAAGCACTCTCTTATGTATTGACCAAAAAACCCAACAAAGTCTCATTCACTGTGCACATCTTGTGCCAGAGACAGCTGTGCCACCCTGTGAGCTTGATGCCAGTCAGACCAGAGTTGGCTTTCATATCCATTCTGTCTCTTGAGTCTGGTGGGCGCCGGATATGGGTTTTTTTAATTGCTGACGTTGATGTTTAGACAGCAGGCTGGATGATGGCTCAGTTGAACCCCTGGTTCACAAAAACACATCCTTATTTCACACACATTTTTAAAGTTACGCAAATAAAAAATACATGTGTAGAAAAGCCTGGAATTGTGGATATCAAACTACTTGACTGTGTGACCATTGTTTTGGATTGCATGTGGCACTTCACTTAAGGCTTCCTGTGCATTATGGTTGCTTGACTGCATGTCTTTAACCTAGACAGCTTCTCCTGCGTCTATAGTTTATATTATTTTCCTAGTTTATTTAACAGGGGCTAAACACAACTTTAAACCATAGATTTAATGCGTATAGAAATACTTATCTGTACATTTAATATTAAATGCCTGTTTGCCTTTGTTGCAGCGTTTCCCTTATCTTTAGATCATAGTTGATATAGCTGAACTGGGTGGAACTGGTTGTTTCTAGTTCCTTCTCGCAGAGCTTACTGAATGTTGCTCATACACGTTTTTAGACAGACCTCAAAAGATTGCCCTTTGGTCTGTTAAATACATGTAGAATCCAGCCAAGCTGCCTCTTCAGATCAAACATTTTTTCATCGAGCATATCGTGCCCACAGAAACTTTGACCCACAGTATCTCCAAACATATCATTGGCATATGTTGGTGAATTAGAAATGGGATTTAATGGTGGGTTTGAAGAGCAGTCATTTATAAAAAATAAAAAAGTCTCAAGTAGCCTCCATAAATCTTTCAAGCTCACAGACGGGGCAAGTGAATAAATGGTTCATGAGTTAGCAAATAAACTACATGTGGAAATGCAAGGTTTTAGTGAGAAGATAAGATCTGCGTGTAAACTGAAGAGAGAGGCCCGTCTTCCCAGGATTACCTCGTAGATGAAAGCAAAGCAGCAGTGGGGTGGAGAAAAGCACAGGGTTAGAAGGGGCTGACGGGAGAATGGATCTGACTGCAGCTTTTAGGTTCAGTAGGCCAGTGAGGCTAGAAAGCAGAAGAAACAGAGGAGGACCTCCTGCTGAGATGACAGCTTCTAAAGAAAACACTCAGACATGCAGTGTCACAAACGCTATGTGATGACACTGAAAAGGAAAGACTAACACGGGCACCTCGGGGGAACGAGCCGACAGAAGTTGAAGGTCTCAGTTTCCACATTGCATCACTAATGAGGGTTACCCTTGCTTCAAAGACACCCTGCATCTGGCTTCAAGTCTTTTTCTGTACATTCAAAGTGGGCAGAGCTGTTCAAAGGATTAGACATGCATCAGTGTTCACTGTTTAGTATCACGTACTACTGAGAGGGTACAAACACACTTTAAATACAGTTTAGGAGCGTTGCATTTCTTTTTTCGGGTGCCCATCTGAGGTACACGACCACACAAAAGCTCTCAATGTACACTCATTTTATTCATCCATCTCCAGTCACTGTCCTCCTCACTCATTGACTCTTTCCAGTTCCCCCCCAGCACCACTCATAGGGTGCGTAGTGTAGTGTAGGGCAGCTGCAGTGTAGCCACGCTTTCATAGCTGTCTCTCTTGTGCATGTCAATTCACTATGCCCGGCAGCCAAGCACAATCTCCCTCTGTGCTGCCTCATAAATCATGTCTTTCTCAGCAAAACACTTCTAATGCTGCAATGGGGTGCAGGGTCATAGTGACATTGTGCGGCTTCCTTCCTTCTCTGGATTTCCAGTCTCCTTGTTCTTGGTATCCTACCCTCTCAATTGTTTGTTGATTTATACTCTTCACCTCATCCTGTCATCTTTCTTTTTCTCTCCTACTATTCAACCCTCTCCTCTTCTCTGTGGAATTAGAGTTGTATGACAATTTCACGGCTTCCACATCTCTCTCACTCTTACGTTGTATGTGAGTTTCTGTTTTATCTGCTGTGTTGCCTTCCTGGACTTGTCAGTATTTCTTTAATGTTGAAGCAGCTGTGGACGGGCATTAGACGAAAGAAAGCCTCCAGGGAAATGTCTTTATTTCATACTTCGTCATTTTGAAACTATAACCTGATACCTGTACGGAAGTGAACGGTCGACATTTGAAACTCTTTTTTAAAGGTTAAACCTTCACATGTTGTCGGAATATAATTGAAGAGTCGATGAGTTTTTCCTCAAGTGTTTCTTTTTCTATTGTGGGCTTTTGAGCGGTATAACAACTATGACCACTTAGACGTTGCACCAAAATGTGCAGCAATTCCCCACACCAAGGCCAACCTACTGCTACCAGAAGCTCTACAACTGCCAGCCCTAATTTTACTCGATAACAGTGCCAGCATATCTTCATACATTTGTTTTTCTTTTGTCCTGTGTTTTCCCCTCTTCTAAGTTAGATGAATCAGTTGTGATGCTGTTCCCAATTCAAGCAACTGTTCAGACGAGCTTGTTGACTGAGGAACACTTTACTGGCTCGCGTTAATCGGCTTGAGAGAGAGACACGCACGCACGCACGCACGCACGCACACGCACACACACAGTTAAACGTCTTCCCAAAGCTATCAATGCAGCGTGGGTAGATTAGATCAACACTGACAGTTAGATAGCACTCGTGTCAAGACTAATTCCCAACTGGAGGACATATAGTAGCAAGTTAACATTCCTCTTGTACCCCAAGTGAGAAAGAAGGATGTCAGGAAGCTGCATGCACCCAGAGAAAGATGTGCCTTATACATATTTAGCTTCACTTATATCCATCAAACATCACTTATACAAGAAGTGATTTATGACACATTAACTTATTTCTTATTTGGTGGTTCAAATGCACACTTGAAACTAACTTCTGCCACAAGGGTAAACTACCATCTTTATTTTGTTCTCTTTGCTTGGCTGTTTGTTTAATACACCGAATATTCTGTGCTATTGGGTTAAATCCACACATTTATTTAAAGAAATGTCTTGTGTTGCTCTGCATTTGTCTCTTTAAACTGTTGTACGGGCTGATGACACTGCGGCCACATTGCAAAGATAAATGCGGGAACTCTCACACACTCCCCTTTGCTTTTGACTTCCTCAGGAGGAACCTCACCAAGCTGTCGTTGATCTTCAGCCACATGCTGGCGGAGCTTAAGGCCATCTTCCCCAATGGTCTGTTTCAGGGTGACAACTTCCGCATCACCAAGGCCGACGCTGCAGAGTTCTGGAGGCACGCCTTCGGGGACAAGTGAGACAAACTCTATATCTTTTCAGACATTGAATATAAATATTACCCAAACTGGCATCCTGGAACAATATGGGATAACTCAAGAAAATATGAATTAAAAAAACAACTAATCACTACATTGAAATGGCATCTTGATAGCAATAGTTTCAGTGTCAGTAACAAGTATCTTCTTTAGGAAACCTATTTCTGTTATTGAATACAGAACTCTTTTGACTTAAGTGTGTCTTTCTGACAGGTCCTTGAAATGTAATCAGACACCCATGTTCTATACAATCACAGATATTTAACCTAATTAGTCAAGTTAATTGAGAAAATTGGTTTTATGCAAATGTGTCATACAAAAGGAATCCAGCCACGTGAAACAACAGCACTTTAAAACCTGGGTTTTCCCAATACTACATTTAAAAAAAAAAAATGTTTTTATGTCAAGTAACTATCTACCAGTTTTTCCTTTTGGAGCATTATTTAGCCACATTGCTGACAAGTAGCATGAAATGGCTAGTAAAAAATGACTCCCTAGGTGTTTTTTTTATCGATCGATACCAAATCCCCCACTGCATCTTTAAAGCCGAGCATGCTTCAGCACAAGACGTCTGTATTGTTGTCAGGATAAAAGATATTACGTTGTTTAAAGGGGATTTCGTCATGGTTTTCTTTTTGTGTGTTACAGGACCATTGTGCCTTGGAAGATATTTCGTCAGTCTCTCCATGAGTTTCATTCTATCAGCTCAGGACTGGAGGCCATGGCCCTCAAGTCCACCATCGACCTCGCCTGCAATGACTACATCTCTGTCTTTGAGTTTGACATCTTCACAAGGCTATTCCAGGTATTGAACACACACACACACACACACACACACACACACACACACACACACACACACACACACACACACACACACACACACACACGGCACTGATGTATTTGTCATAGTTACAGTCTGAGATGATGAAAGAGAAATATGTGCTATGAAAGAGGGTGATTGAGAAGACGGAGTGTAATTAATAGCATAGTCTATCAGCCGTTGTCATGGAAACTAATATCATATGAGAAGCGCATAATGAACTCAAACATATTTGTCACTTTTTGGCTTACCCTATCAACTTGTTAGCAGGATGACTGCTGACTTATTCACGCTGTCTGGTGGGACGGAAGTTCTTGCATTGTTTCTGCTCGCACATTACAGATACAAAATGTTTGGCAGTTATTTGGTCCTCTCTATGTGATGTCTGTTGTCACTTAAAAAGGCACAGGCAGGTCTAGGGTTTCCAGGTGGTGATAACACTAAGGAACATCCTCAAGGACAGTCATTATGTGTCATGTTATCATTATAACATATCCTTTTCTTTGTGTCAGATGAATAATAAATAGCAAGGTTGAACATTTGTGGTATAATTCCCAAACAACGTTGGCACTGTAGAGCGTCACAGATTAGGTCCTACAGTTTTACTTTGCCTAAACCTGCTGATACAATGTTGTAGTTAAAGGTCCAAACTACTCCCATACACACATAGAATTGGGCATGATTGTGAAATGTAGGGCTGTAAAAAGGGTTAGGGGAAATGGAGGGGGGAGGATGGGTGTATTGGCATTATCTCCAGAGCTTATCTATTATATTTAGTGAAAGTGTTTCATATCAGAATTATAATAAACACTTCTATGGGAAACATTGATGTTGTATACCATGTCATCTGTAAACCACTGTAAACTTGCTGTGTTTTCATTTGTATTATCTAAAGCATCTTGCGTCATATCTGGCTTGCAGTAGTGTGTGTTGCTCATTCCCCTCAGTGATATTATCCAAGGCTAAATGTGTGCACAGCACTGATCGGCTTAATGAGGCCTAAACAGATTACAGACATTTCCTATGACCCTCCCTCAAACAGAAAAAAAAGACTCCTCTAAATGTCCTCAAACACAGAATAGGAAGTGAGCCTGTGGCCATTTTGAGCTCTGTCCTTGATATGCAGTACACTGGGGATGAAATTATGCATTTTTTTAAATATTGCTATCGGCCCCTTGAAATGTTTCATACTGTATCTTTAGGCTCCATTATCTGGGTGTGTTATCAACAGCTCTCATGTAGTGTGAACAGTTCATCTAAAAATAATGTCCAAATAAGAGGCGACTGAAAAAGAATTGTACAGCTACATTACGTAGTAACATGTCACATAAAGACAGTCAGTCAGAAGCACCCTACTGTTTAGTAAACCCTGATACTTGTCTGCAATTACACTCAAAAGAGAGATAAGACAAAAAATGTTAAACTTGAGTCGATCAAAGGAGTCAGTTTTGATTTGTGACTTCCTTTGGGCAAAAAGTATAAATAACCAGATAAAAATGTGTGCAAATATGTTGGAAATGCACGGGGAACAGAATAGTCCCTCTTTGTGATTAGCCTGTACCGTGCCCTTGCAAATCTTTTTGTAGGTGGTGTATGTGTAATTCTACTTCCTTTCACACCAGACTAACTGTGAAAACACCTTCTCACTACCACACTCTATGGAGTTGTATGAATTATTTGACTATTTTAGCTTCAAGCCTTGTTATCTTGGTGGTTTTTAAAGAAAGAAAAAAAGTGTTCTGCTTTACATACATTATGGGAAGCAGCCTGCGTATTTCCCTTTAATCTTCCTCATTATGTGGCTCCAGATGGTACCAAGTTAGATGCATGCTGTTTAAAGTGCTCCAAATTCAGCTTTAAGGAGCATTTTACTCTGCTTGACCCAGGTAGCCATCGTAAATCACACTGAAGTTCACTAAATGGTTGTTTCCAGTGTCATCCGTAACGCAGTTTATCTCTCCATTACTCTACTCATGTTGTTATTACTGTGTATTCACTCACGCATCAAATGAGTGAGTCACCCTCTCTCTCTTTCTCCTGTGTGTGTGTGTGTGTGTGTGTGTAGCCTTGGTCGTCCCTGCTACGGAACTGGAACAGCTTGGCAGTTACTCACCCCGGCTACATGGCCTTCCTCACATACGATGAGGTCAAAGCGCGGCTGCAGAAGTTTATACACAAGCATGGCAGGTGAGATATCAAGAGACATGTGAATGCACACACACACATCCTGTCACACCATCCAAATAAAGATGTGGTGTCATTTAGTGCTTATTGGTGTGTGGTGTCCTCCCATTTACTTTAAATATATAGTTTAAGGTCCATTATCAACTTCTATCAGCACGCTGTGAGCTGTGTTTGCAACACACTTTTATTTCCATTGTTCAAACTTAACAAGACATGTCATGTGACCACGTTCATGTGATTTAGAGCGGCAACAGCTTGGTTGTGGTATACTGAATCTCCAATGTCCTATATTTGTCTCTGCTGAAGAGACATGTTTCGCATGTGTTAGTGTGTGGGAAGTGTACAGCCTAATACATCATCAGTTTTACCTAAGGCAATAATGCTATCATACACACATGGAAGTGTGTGTGTGTGTGTGTGTGTGTGTGTGTGTGTGTGTGTGTGTGTGTGTGTGTGTGTGTGTGTGTGTGTGTGTGTGTGTGTGTGTGTGTGTGTGTGTGTGTGTGTGTGTGTGTGTGTGTGTGTGTGTGTGTGTGTGTGTGTGTACTGAAAGCTGACGTCACTGTTGAGGCTTGGCTTGTGTAGGGCCACATCCGCTCAGTTATTGGCCAATGTGTGTGCAGCATTTTGAAACTCTTAATTACAGCCTTCTCTTTGTATTATGGGTAAAGCACTTGGTCCACATCCAAACTAAACGTAGAGACTATCAACAACACTACTTTCTCCACTTGTGCACTTAGTGTGTTGATGATCGGATCAGGGGGTCACAGGTTCAAACCCCGCTGCAGTCAGCATGTCGTTGTGTCCCTGAGACACTTCACCCCAAATTGCTCCTGTTGGGATTGCCCACAGTATTGAGTATATAAGTCGCTTCGGATAAAAGCGTCCAACACCTTTTCTTAAAGGTGTTAAAAACTCCAGATTTTTTTATTTGGTCATTTCCTGATACAACATTCTCAACTTAAAAACAAGGACATAAAACATGTTGAGCACAGGGAAGAGTGGCTGCATGTCTTTCCAGACTGATGCCGCCTCTTGAAGCCACAGCTCCAATTCGTTTTTGGTGGTTAAAAAACACCACAGGCAACATTTTAAGCAGCATAATTATAAAACGCAGACATCACACCGTGTCTTTGTTTGATGTATTTATCTTTTAATTGGATGAGCAGTGGTGGGTTTGGAGGGTCTTTGCCCATTATGTATCTTGTCTGTGGGTGCCCTCTCTCCATATGATTCTGCCAATACAATAAATGCAGGTTACAAATGATTATTTTATTTAAATGTTTTTTCCTATTCAAACCATATTAGTCTTATTGATATGATTTCTCATTTTTTTAACTTGTTTGTTTGTTGTTCAGTCCGAACAAACATTTGACATTCCCATGCATTATTCAACTTACATATTTGCTGTTTTGCCTGCTTTATCTCACTCAAATGTACAGGCATACTTGAAACTTGTTTCTCAGTGAACCCGATGTACACCCTCCTGCGGGCACTTGACTGAATTCAATGATCTGTACATTTTACATAATTGTTTACATTGGAACTACCATGCTGCACTGAAAACCAATGAGCACAATATGTGGCAGTAATACAGTATCTCTATTTGATTGCTCTTTGTCTGGGAAACAAATATTGACAACACGTAACATGTCTTCTGTCTCATTTCTTATGTTTCCTCCTCAGTTACATATTCCGACTGAGCTGCACCCGGCTGGGCCAGTGGGCCATCGGTTATGTGACCGCAGATGGAAACATACTCCAGACCATTCCCCACAATAAACCGCTCTTCCAGGCCCTGATAGACGGCTTCAGGGAAGGATTGTAAGTCCATCCGCTATTTGTTTGACACACTCATATCAGCAATTGTTCTGATCATTGTCACCCTTAACTCTGCTCTGTGTCTCTGTAACTGGGTCTTTTTTTTGTTTTAATAAATGATCTATAAGTTAAGCTTCCTGTCATATGCAGCACTTTTTCTACCATGTCTCTTTTTCTTTCTTCTTCTCTTCCCACAAAGCATGCATCTCTGTTTAAAGTATGTGTTTATGCTTTCCCCGCCACAATGAGTCTGCCTTTCAGCTCTCAAACAATCCAGCCATATCATATTGCCAGTTCCCATCTTTGCAGCGTTATCATAACCAGAACTGAACTGTTGGTTTCCAATGTGCAGCTCAGTCAGTGTTTTAGCTGGCTGGCATGAAACGCATCTTTTCATGACAGTGCTGATTATTTTTGTTAAATGAAAGCTATGGTTGGCTTGCTCACACCTGTAATCAATCCAGTATATCGCCTGGATCTACAAACATTTATCAAATAGTAATTATACCATCTGGCCCATTTATAAAATAGTCACGTAAGTACTCTACATGCATCATCATCTCTGTGCTGATATTAAAATACGTTGCCCAGTGAACGACTGAACAGATGTTTTCATGCAGCAGCCTGTTGGATATACATGAAGTATAATCATATTGACTAATTATGGGGCTAACTTTTAAATAAAAATGCCTGTTGAAATACCCAAGGCTACTGTGCTTAACTTCTCATTTTGTTATTCCCCAGCTATTTATTCCCAGATGGTCGGACCCAAAACCCAGATCTGACAGGACTGTGTGAGCCTTCACCTCAAGACCACATCAAAGTCACACAGGTCAGAGCAGCGTGCTTCTGGATCTTCTTCTTTAAAGTCTTACGGCCCGTCCACACGGCGGCGTGCGTTGAAGCTTCAACGCTTCTGCCCATTCACTTTGAATGGGGTGATGTCACGCTTTGCCGAACTGCATTGTGGTTCCGTCGCTTCGCTTTGCTCGCTTCAAAAGTCGAGCAATGTTCTACTTTTGAAGCTTCGACGGAAGCGTCAGCCAATCAAATCATATGCAAGTACAAGCTCTAGTCAATCAAACCCCGTGCTTGTGTGTCCGGGGCGGGAGATTCATGTGATTGGTTGTTGGTCGAGTTTCAGACACGCCCACCGGCAAGCTTCAACGCACGCTGCCGTGTGGACGCTGCGTCATACATTCTCACTGACCTTTGGCATTTAACTGTTACAGACAAATAGCTTAGGTACACATAAAGATCTTGGTTGAAAAAAGATATTGATGTTACCGTCTAGTGCAGGACCAAAAGGAAGCAGAAGTAAAAGTCATGACAAAAAACACCGCACAGGAACTAAGTTAGTCATGGGTGAGTAGCTGACTCCTTTTAACATATAGCCATTTTTGTATGTCTCACATCTATATTTAAGAAATAATATACTATGTATTAAAAATAGGTTCTTCACTGTGACAAAAAGCCTCAGCTAATTTAAATGAGGTAAAGGTTGCAGAAGCCTAAATCATTCACATAAACAATTATGATATATTAAAATGCCAACATTTAAACCTTTATATTTTGGCTTTCATTTGAAGTCACCTTCTTTAATTTCATCTTATTTCAACAGTGTTTCCAAAGTCATACACTGATTGAACATTGCATGAGCTCCATTTTCATACATAAAAAAAAAATATGGCTGCATTTCAGAATGTTTTTTTATAGTTCAAGCTATTTGTACTGTTGTCAGCGCGAGCTTCCTCTGTTGTTAAGAAGAATAGGAAACCCCATCTGTCTTTCAAAATGTAGCACTGTCATCACATTGAAGCACGCATCATGTTTACTGCACAAAATTCAACTGTAAATTGTGAAATATCTTTAAACAACCCTTGGGCTTTCATGTCTTCTCAAGGGTTTGAAAACTTGTTTATGAACAAACTCCTTTTGCTTGAGCACAGGACTGAAACTAAAAATACGCCCCCACATTTTTGAACTTGGCTCCAGATCCTTCCGGGCTCTTTCGAAATGATCTCAGATGGTGTTAGTATCGTATGATGTTACTGTGTTTTGGCACTGAAAACTCATAGTTGTCTCATTTTCCCCCTTAGGAGCAATATGAGCTGTACTGTGAGATGGGCTCTACGTTCCAGCTGTGTAAGATCTGTGCCGAGAACGACAAGGATGTGAAGATCGAGCCCTGTGGTCATCTCATGTGCACCTCCTGTCTCACCGCCTGGCAGGTAAGAGTGGGTGGACAGGTCTGTATGGGTGTTTCGCTTCAAGTGAAGTGTCACACCTCATACCTGTTGAGAGGAACACTCACTAAGTGTTTTTCTCGGCAAACGTGGCGGACGTATAAAAACACATGACCCCCTTTCATCTCTGTGTCCCATAACATCTGTCTTTGTGCTTTTGTTACAGGAGTCGGAGGGTCAGGGAACAGGATGTCCCTTTTGTCGCTGTGAGATTAAAGGTACGGAGCCCATTGTTGTGGATCCTTTTGACCCCAAGGACAACAGCGGGGGCTCCTGCAGGGGCATGTTCGGGGCTGAGGGGGCTCCTTCACCCAGCTATGACGACGATGACGACGACAGACTTGAAGACCCCCACCTCATGATGAGCAAACTCGCCTGTTCAAAGGTAATACTGTGGGAAGACCTTAACTTTATTAAGAAAAAAAGTGATATCAGTTTCCCTCAAGTTTCTAGTCATGACACCTCAAGAGTTGATCAAATGTTGCGTTGGTTTGACGCCCTCAGCGCACCTCCTGCGTTTCTTCTGTCTTCGTATCTTATCTGTCTTTGAGAGACCCATCTCTCTACAGATGAAATACTCCCTGCCTCGCCCCTTTCATATTTTCTGAGATTCAGGATCACTCCTCATATCCCAGGTCTTTCATCTCCATCTTTCATGGTGCCAAGGTAGTAACTTTTTTGTGCCTCAGTGTTTGATATGTTGGGCATTTTTCTTTTCTTCTTTTTAAACTCTGTGCTGCATATAGATCAGGCGAATACCTGAGCTCACACACACTTTGAAGTGGTCCCCGGAATTTCTATGGCATTCATTGCTGGCCTGGTCTCTTTCTTATCTTTGACCATTTCTTTAAATATACTTGTACACTTTGAAGTAGATGGCTGTACTTCATAAATATGTTGTATTGATTTGTGTTACTTTATTTTTAAAACAAGCAAACTTCAATTTTTTGCTTTTTGATGAGCAAAGAAATCTACGCCATTGAACGGTGCAGTCAAATGTTATGGAGCAATTGTTGTTGCATGATCAGGACTTAGGTTTCCCGACATAATCATAACATTTTATTTTATGCCATGTAGCTCAAAATAATGATTTTAAACTTTAGATGTGGCCATTTGAGGAGAAGAAAATGAGCACTGTTGTGCAAAATGTTCTTCTTTATTCATTCAAAGCACTGCCTTTCCCCCACTCTCTCTAACCTAAGTTTGATTGGAACCAATAGTCATTAATTTGTATTCCTCAAACCCGCCATTAGACAATCCTCAGTCTGTTGAAATGTAGCTGATCAGATGTGATGGGTGTTCTGCTGTTGATCCAGGTGGAGCGCCCCCCGTCACCCATGTCCATGGCTCCTCAGTCCTCTCTGCCCCCCGTGCCGCCCAGACTAGACCTCATACCACACAGACCTCCCAACCCGCCGGGGGCCTCCAGCCCCGGGGTCACCAGTAAGGTAACTGACCATACACAAGCAAGAGAACGCCTCATTTGGGCAAGAGGGGATGTTCAAATCAAAGTGTAGTTAAAGCATTACTTATTTCACAGTCACAAAGCATTTTCAATATTGGGTTGGATTGTCCAGTTTTTGTCTCAAGGGGGGTAGAGGGCATTCAGGTCAACAGGAAAGACTGCTGTCATAGAAGAATGTTATTTTTTGTTTTGTTTTGATGTCATTTGCACATAATGTTAATACAAGCACTATCACTTGCCATCTTTGTTGTAACATATAAGCCATTTCAAAGTCACCCTAACATTAGTTTTATAGTCCCTTAAGCCAAACTAATAATATTCTGCTTTACAGCTGGTAGCTTGATTTTCAAATGATGCGTACCTTTGTTACTCCCTTCACTGAAGTAGTGTTGAAATGACAGCCACACTAATCACTGTATTTTATATCCTGCATATGAGACATCTCGGAGTGCATTTCTACTCACTCACATATTCATATTACCCCATTTGATCACATTTCTGCTTGAATGTAGATAAATGGAAACTGTAGATGGGAAGCTGGGATTGTGTGCAGATGATGAACAACACTGTGCTTTCTGTTGTTATGTATATTGTTGATTTAAGATGATGAATGCACACACAGTGCTTTTGCTGCTAAATGGATTATTTCCAGTGGAGCAGATAGCAGTACTGTGTTTTCTTTGTTTCANTGCCCCTTCCTTCAGACTTCCTCACAGAGCCCCTCCTCCAAAACACACGCAGCCTTCCATCTGTGCACAAACTTATCTCGTGCCCTCATTGGTCATGTGCGCGTGTGTTTTGGAGGAGGGGCTCTGTGAGGAAGTCTGAAGGAAGGGGCAGATATTTTCCGGTTGTGTATTTTCAAATTCTAGCGCACTCGAGCTGGTTTCTCCATTCTTACCTACCTTTAATCTTGATTTTTTTTTTGTGATTTTTTTTTTTTTGATATACTTTATTAATCCCTCTGGGGAAATTGTTTCTCTGCATTTGACCCATCCTAGTGTTAGGAGCAGTGTGCTGCCATTTTGAACGGCGCCCGGGGAGCAGTGTAGGGAATGGTGCCTTGCTCAGGGACACCTCGGGAGCACTTGGTCTTGCCGGGACTTGAACTGGTGACCTTCCAGTTGCCAAGCCAAGTCCCTATCGACTTCGCCACCACCGCCCCAAATCTAAAATAAAACAAATTGATCCATAACAGCAATATCAATATATTATATAAGTTGCATCCCAGTTTGCAAAGGTTCTCATCGTAGACTAGATCTCAGCCTAAAGATGTGTTTATGTCTATTTCCTTCATGTCCATGCTGCAAAAAGGCTTTTAAGGCTTCCATGTTAATATATTCATTAAATACGTCTTGCTTTTCCTGTAGTCCTTATCCCAGTTGCCTTTTTGTACATTGTTTAATGGGTTTAATGTAAATGTGTGTGTCATGTGGTTAAACGGAGCACACATAGTAATGACAGAAATAAACATTTAGGTCCAGTGTGACCCTGTTGGGAGGCTGAGGGAGTGTTAAGGAGGAGGGTGATCTTTATTTGTGGTCAGGGTGACCATCGTTAAGCCTGTTGGCGCTTTGGTGTGGAGCTTTTATATCTGGAGGTTTCATTAATGTTGTTGAACCTCGCTAGCAGGAGGTTAGTCCCTCTCCCAGTTAGGATTAGACCTTTTAAGGGCTGGTTGGTTTGTGACTCTCCTCCTTTCATCTGCTGCCATCAGAGCAACTCTGCATTAAAGGCATTCCTCAATCTCTCTTCATTCTCCTTTCTCTCTCCGTCTCTAACCACCTCCCTCTTTTCTCTGTCTAAAGTCTCCCTCCTGGCAAACGCAGAATAGAGAAACTGTGATGCCATTAAACACAACAGCAGAGATTGGCATTGTGCATTTGTTTTCCAGGTTGTGATGAGTGCATTGTAGCAAATAAAGAAACAGCAATGCACAATATGTTCGTTTTATAAGCCAATGCCGATAACCAAAACCATAACTGATCATTTCAAAATGTTTGTGTTTTAAAAGCCTAATAAGAACAAGTTAAAAACCTTGATATTTAGACACCTGATGGTAAGAAAGGCTTACATGTAGCAAAGGTTGATGATTTACAATTCCATAAACAATTTTAAATGAGATACTTTTGTTAATTAATCAACAAAAAACGTATCTAGCTTAGCTTAGCTACATGTTGTCGTACATCGAAACAACTCTAGAATCAATCTATGTTTTATAGACAATTGCCTGGGAATTGTCATATGCAGATTTTAATGCCTTAATCAAAGACAAACCTAAAACATGTTTTTATGGAGCCCTCTCCAATGAGGCCAGGCGCAGCAACACAATGGTTACTCTTTGAGCTACTATACTTGTATTTGATGTCATGCTTCTTTCTGAAGGACACCGGAGAATGAGTCCTGTTTGCTCAGGCTTTGTTCGATCTTTTTTAGCATTTTTTTTTAATTGTTTGTCAACAATGAGTCTGCTTCCTTGTATCCTGAGTTGTGGGCCTCTACAGTTCTGGCAGTAGTCACACACTCTTCTGTCCCATATCCAGTTTCCTAATACAAATGGAGCTCAGTGTCATTTTAAACCATATTCAGCCAACACTGCAGCACACACTGTGCTGTAATCTGCCGCCCTGTCCCTTTTAAAACAAGCCTAATCCTGCTCTTGTTGTGACTAATCTTCTCTCTTCACTCTCTTACTTCTCTCACTTTCCCTCAACTGTTTGTCAACCTTGTCGTGTTTTGTTGTTCCCGCCCCCCCGGGGATGAGGTGGTGGTCAGCGAAAGATGTTTCCATTTTGTGGGGTTTAAGTTAAATCTGATCCACAATGTGGTTCTAGTGAAGAGAAATCCTGTGATCCTTTTTTCTATTTGATTTGTGTGTGTGTGTGTGTGTGTGTGTGTGTGTGTGTGTGTGTGTGTGTGTGTGTGTGTGTGTGTGTGTGTGTGTGACAATACACATAAAACCCATTTGCACAGTTCATTCCATGATTAAAACCATTGTCATTGTAATTCACATAACTGCAGTGATAGTATTGCATGCCTTTTATGTTCATTGTTGCCTTTTAAAATACACAGTGCTCGGGGAGAAAAATAAATCCTCACATATAATAGTAGCAGATGAATAAATTGGTCTTAATCTGAATGTGTGTGTGTGTGTGTGTGTATAACGCCTATAGTGCGGTATTCATAGGTGGTATGTAAAAAGGCCCGCCTTATCAGTTATCAGGGGAGGCCAAATTGACACAGAGGAATCACTCCATTGTGTGCGGATTTCAAAGAGAGATGTGAGCACATTGGATGTCTCCATTTCCAATAACTGTGACCTTGAGGCAAGAGGAATAGCACTGTGCCCCCCCCCCCATCCACCTCCAATCTGCTGACTGCTGAATCCAACCACAGCCAGCTGATTTTGGGTGTGGGGCGGAGGGCTAATCGGTGCTACCTCAGGGTTATTCTATAGGGTAAATTGAGTTAGGCTTTATTTTTCTGATATGTGTGAATACAAATTACAAAGGCCTGTGTGCACATATTTGAATCCCCTGTGTCCATACTGTCCGCTTTGAGGGTTATACTTTGTTGTTCGTAACTTTACTATAAACATATTTTATAAATAAACAGAAAGAAGATGTTAAATGAAATTAAAACAGCAAAATGTAGCACGATTTTTTTTATTCATCTACCGTAATTCTGCTCCATGCAAATCACTTTTACCTCATGGCATTTCTGATAGAGGTTAACATCAAGTGTGTGACTTTTCCACTGTGAAGTCCGAAGGTAGTCTGTCGAAACTGACCTCCGTTTGTCCCTTTCAGCCAGTTTAGGATTGTTTTTTGTTTTGTGGCAGCAGGCTTAAGTCCGATAGTCATCTGTTTCACGTGGATCCAGTGATTCACCACTTATCATCATCGTTGTAAAACCACTGTCTTTATCTTTTATCTTCCTCAACACTATACTAAACACACTCGCTTTAGATATTGTCAAATCAGTTGTGCCAAGACCTTTTGCCGACAATGGCACGAACAGTGCACGATTAACTCATATCTGCCAGCCCCTCCAATGACACTACGCGGTTGGGAACTTGGTGGGTCCAAGAAAATAATGTTGATTTGTGAATTGTAAGAAAGAAGTGATAGTATATGGATCAATATGGAGCATGGACCGTGCTAAAGAGAAACCAATTGACTGGTGACCTGTGGGATAAAGCCATTACACGATTGGCTTGAACTATTTGTTCATCATGTTCTTACGCTGGCAAACTGTGTGTGTGTGTGTGTGTGTGTGTGTGTGTGTGTGTGTGTGTGTGTGTGTGTGTGTGTGTGTGTCCTGCGGTCCTCAGCGATAAGGCTGAGATTGAGTTTTCTCCACCGAGCCAGAACCTCTGAGATGGTGTGTGTTTGTGTGTAAAGACATCTGGACCCGGGCAATGTAAAGAGCTTCTATCACTCTATCTACCATCCACTCCGGAGTGTATATGTATATATGCTCTCAAACCGGTGTTGTGTGAGAGAAAGCTCGCTGCTCTGCTTTGTTCGGCATTGTGCGCATGAGAGGATGAATCCTCTGGGCTCGATTCACAGCTCTGTGGTATCATAACACAGGAGTGTGTGTGGTTAGTAGGGCTGCACTATTTGGAGAAAACAACCAGTTATTTTGAGTAATTTGATCATTAGTTTGATTTTCCAAAAGGATCTGTACCAAACATATGTTTTCTTAATGCCGGGATATCTCTGCAGCTTTCCAATTCTTCGTTCAAAATGGTATCAACACACTTATTGATCATTTAACAAATATTATATTATAGATTTTGCAATTTCCATATTATTTTTGATAATCATGCAGCGCTTGAATCATATATGCAATTTTTAGACTAAAAAACTGATTTAGAGAGAATATTTGTTTTGCTGCACATGGCCTGTAAAGAGACGTGTGCACGTGCGTCCGATCTTTACGTTGTCAGTCTCTCATCATGCAAGTTAACCATCGTCAGTTAGCCAGGGAAATGTGTCAGTTTTCTTTCCCATCACTGAAACACAGTCTGTAAAAACGTAGGAGGCACAACAGAAGAAGAGAACATGCTATGTGAGTGGTATCAACTCAGCAAGGAGGTGAAGCAGTCTGCTATTCACTGACAGCGTGGTGTGACACCCGCAGAAAACTAAACCCATCAGTTTTTGTTAGAGGAAGGGGAGGGGGGACATCCCATACTGTTTAGTTTCCATATCTAGCAGTCAGTGACAAGGCTTTCCGGCAGTTCTCATATTTCACACACTGTCCTCTGGTGAGCAGCTTGCAAGTACACACACACACACACACACACACACACACACACACACACACACACACACACACACACACACACACACACACACACACACACACACACACACACACACAGTCACTATAACTCTTATCACATGGTCTTTGGCATATTCCCAAATTCCAATTTGACTGCTAGCCCCTGGCCCAGAGCAGATCTCTGAAAAGAAGTGCANGGTAGAGAAACGGCAACCTGAGAGGGTGGGTTTATTTTCTAAGGCTTTTGGGACCATTTTCATTCATATATTCAACTTTCAGATTTATCTCAGAGGGGATAATGAACTATCTAAGTTCTATGGTTAGTCTAATCATTAATAATTCCTTCTTTCATTCTTTTGTTTGATGGAAATTTGTAATAAGAACCTTGTAGGATTTAAGTTGGCTTTGTAATGTGTCGAAGATACATTTTTATTTTTTTTACTTTTATTGTCATTACATAGTAGGTACTAGTAACGAAACGGTTTCTCTGCATTTGACCCATCCTAGTGTTAGGAGCAGTGGGCTGCCATTATGTATGGCGCCCGGGGAGCAGTGTAGGGAATGGTGCCTTGCTCAGGGACACCTCGGGAGCACTTGGTCTTGCCGGGACTTGAACTGGTGACCTTCCAGTTGCCAAGCCAAGTCCCTATGGACTTTGCCACCACCAAATTGAAGAGGTGGTTTTGATTTATCCTGCTGGATTTGTGATTTATATTGATTTTATGACATGTCACAACAATGAGGTGACAGCTATTGACACAACCGTGAAAAACAAAAACAAAAATACATGTTGAATGATCAATAAGTCGAACACTTGCATTTAACATCGACTCATTTTCAAGAGAGCATATGTCAAGAATTTCAATCATGAAAAACTGCAGGTGAAAGATGACAAAAGATAGAAATTGAACGTTGAGGAGAAATGCTGCAGCGGTACCTTGGAGCTGTGTTGAGTAGGTGGCCTAGTTCTGAGGGATGGTGACTGACAGAGCCTGATGGACAGATACGAGATGATCCACACATCAGACATAAGCAAGAAGCGGTGAAGACAGGTGGATGCCCATTGATTCCCACTGTGCAACAGTCAAGCTATCATAGACCTTCAAACTGGTTAGTTCACTATAAAAATACTAAGCCATTGGTCGCAGTCTATGCAGGAAGTAACCTAAGAATCGTGATGCTGGTGGTTTGTCCTCACTGCTTCTCTTCTGGAGGAATGGTTTTGTAAAATGCAAATAAAGATGAATACAGTTTACACAAATGCAACCAGTTGTATAGTTATGTTCTTCATCAGTTTGCAAATAAAATGTCAGGAATTGATTCAAATGTGCTATATTTGGGATTTTGCAAAAGTACAATTATGATAATGAGAGCATCTTGGCTGATCTGAACTGAAAAAACTCCTCGGCGCAGTGTGTCAAACATCAGATTTTGTGAATGTTTACTGCCGTAACATTTTAAAATAATTTAAATAAAATGTAAATAAAGAAATATCCTTTGCTTTACCAGGGTCTCCATGTTTGCAGTTGGTTCTGATAACAGTAGGGTTTTAATCACATACTGGCTTGTACTCATTTAACCTGAAGCCTTCTTGAATATACCTCTAATCTTTTGCAGACTACACAGGAGACAGCGTGCATATTTTTAAGTGAGACATAAATAATGACAGGCGATGAGACAATTCATGTACTGGTGTCAAAGATGTAAAAACAGATCGAGGAGAAAGTAATGTCAAGACAAAAGTGAGGAGGGAAATAATGGATGCCCATTGTGTGTGTAGCCATCATTTCCTTTAACAGGTATTCAAAACAGGAAATCATTTCTTCAGCTTCTCAGCCAACACTTTAGCATTTATCATTCAATGAGCACCTACCAACATCGCTGGACATGCATCGCTGTCTTTCAGAGATACCAACAGTTAAAACATTTTTTTTAATAGAATATCACTACTATAAAAGAAGTCCGTGTGTCTGTCTCTGTGTGTTTGTTTTGTAGGTTCAGTTGAGTTTGTTGTCTTCTCAAGGCTGTGGTGCTTTCTTCAGCCACAAGATAATACTCATGGTTTTTGGCACTTTCAAAATAAAAGGATTTGGAGGATGATCTTGCATTAGTCTGTTCATCTCTGCAGCTCTTCAGAGGCAATATACGTTCATACAGTTAACTGTCAGATAAAAAAAAAAGGAACTTGTTCAAAGTTTTCTTGTAGAACAATAGAATAACAATATTCAGTACTGATAATCCATCAGAGGACAGAAATAACTTAAAAAGGAAAAAAAGAAACAGCACTATGACAAATGACTGAAAATACTGCATAGTACAAATGCCCCGTTGCTTTTTTGTCCGTCCTGTCTGACACAGTACAGAAGGCCAACAGGGACAGACCACAATGAGACAGACTCATCAGTTTCTCCTGTGACCGTGGAAAACATTCACCCAAGGAGACTACTAGCTTCTGCCTCATGGGCGGAAAGTTCACAGCACTGCCATGCCCTTTAAGATCAAGTTCTGCATGGCTGAATCAAAATACCAATTGAACTTTGATCCCTGGAAAGTAGAGAGGTGGCTGCTGTGAAAGTCATTCCTGCTGGGATTCCCGGGGCGTTATTCAGGTTCACTGCTATTTGTGGTTTTGTCCCACTCTATGCTCTCCTCACTGTGCGTGGGAGAAGGGAGGGCCCCAATGGCCCCTCCAGGATGCATCCTCAGTCCCTGGAAGCGCCGGCAATCGGGGCAAATGCGAATGTGACTGCAGCCTCTCGCAACCAAGGCAGCCTCCTGTGCCAGTCTGTGGGAGAGAGGCTCAGGTAGTCCGGTCCCCCCGCACAGCTTGCCGTTGCTGAGGCTGACAGCGGCTGCTCGAGCACGACGCTCCTCCAGGGGAAGGGGCCGCGGCCGCAGCGTCGAAGCCGCCCGCCTGCGCCTCACCTGCAGGCTGTCGCGGCACATGACGATCCCGTGGAGCTCCCGCAGCATCTCCTCACACACTGACTGCTGCAAGCACACACACAGAGAGAAAAGAGAGGGGAGAGGGGGGTAAGAGAGGGAGAGAAAGGGAGAGGCCAGACAACTCACTGACTGACTTAATTTATCAGAACAAACAGATGAACAGCACAGCCATAGGACAAACATTTCATCTTCACAATCAGTGAAACAACAGAGAGATGGCTGGTGAACAACAGAGAGATGGCTGGTGAACAACAGAGAGATGGCTGGTGTAGCTATAACAACCATCAGGAAAAATACATTTAATAAATGTTTAAACATACTTCACAGACACATACGGACATGCAACCAACTTTTTGTCTCCTTGACAGATGATCCAGTGTTCCACTGAGTATCGACAATACGTAAACTCAAATGATAACAATGACAGATATGAGTTCAAGTGCGAGACAAGACAGGCCAATTACCAAACAACACATGCTGCACATGAACACACTGACAACTGTACGGATGCACACGCACACACACATACCGACACACACACAGACGCACAAGCAAGCACACACAGGGTTAACAAGTTAGAGTGGAATATATCTAAGGTTCCTAATAGAAATAAATCACATGAGTTTTTGACTTTCACAATCTGAATATTTATTGAATTCAAATCAGTGTGGAGTCCATTTGAAAAGACAATTATCAAGTATCTTTTAAAAGAATTACATCAGAATGAATTATAACACTGCATGCAATATTTCTCTACTCCATCTTTGTTAATAGTGTCCCCGCTTCAAGTATAGGGCAGAAGAAAACCTTCACAAACAGAACTGATGATTTTCTGTGCATTCAAATGGGCCCTTCCTTCGTCCTGATAAACAAATGCAAATCAAAAAAGCAGTAGTTCTGTGACAAGGCTTAAAAAACTCCTCATATTGCTTTCTTGTCCCCACTCCAGATGAAGCTACAAACAATTGTAAATTATTCTAAATATGGTTTTGATTTATAATTCATACAGTCTTCGGATTATATTAATCAAACACTATCTCTTGGATTTCAAATATAAATCTTATAATAGTTGCTTTTTTCAAATCTACGTTAAGTAGATATCTTCAACTGATAATTTACTGTAACAAACGATTCTTCCTCTGCATAACTTTCCATCATCCAACCTCTGATGAAAATAATGACTTCTGATCTGTGACGGTTGATTTTTGAACAAAGCTGTTCACACATTTCCAAGCATCTCTTAAATACAAATATTATTAGATAAAGGCTAAGATAAAACAATACTTTTTTAAACTCTCATTGGCTGCATGTATTTACCATCACACCAACACAATGAAACTACATTCAATATTCTTTATAATGTATGATATTATATGAAATATATATATATATATATATATATGAAACTTATTCTGCTACAAATAGAAAATAATCTTTATATGCATGTACTTCGATTGAGGTTTAAGTGGGGTATATCTTTGGTTTAGTGCTGATTATGTCACCAAGACTAGACAGAGGAAGTGTGAGTGTCACGTTGAACCCAAAGGAAGACCTAGACGCATGCTACACTTCCTGTCAAAGCTGTGCACTGTGGGGAAGCATAGCAGCTCCACGAGGGGGCGGGTGCCAGGGAGGGGAGAGGGAGACAAAGCAGATGCAGGTTAGATAGCCCTCTCTCACCTCATTTCCTGGAGCCTGTCTTAACATCCAGACAAATTCTAGCACTGCCATGAAGATAGCCACCAGCAGGCCACACACCAGCACCACGAAGATACCGCCGATATTCTCCATGCCCAGACCTGGAGACAAACAGGTGTGATAGGAGAAGTGAAAATTACAGGACAAAGGAGACAAAAGGAAATTAAAAACATTAAAAACACACAGTCTGAAGTGGAGCTGAGGATCAAGCAGATGAACATTAACCAGAGACAAACCTTTGGCACGGTGGTCCTCCTCTTTTGGACACTTGCCACCGTCCCACCACTTCCTCTTGAGGATTTCCAAACGATTGTCTTCCTGTATTTTGAGGATGGCCAGGTCAAACTCATCACGGTACACAGACCCTGCAGGGAAGAGAGAGGCAAAGCTCAAACAGGCACACTCCTAACGATGTGCCAACTGAAAACTGAACCTTCGGACGAATACAATATACTTGTGTCCAGTGCAAACAAATCCAACATTTTCACCTACTATTTTACACACTTCAAGGTCAGATTCAACACAAAAATCGCACTGATAATATTACAATGTACAACACAGCTTTTATGGGTGTATTTAAAATGTCTCTCATGTAAAAAATAGGGAATGTAGGGAAGCTTTATTCAATATCTTTTATATGACACCACTGTCATTGCATCCCATCACGGTGTCACTGTGTCATGCAGTGACTGCAGCCCAAAAGAAACGAGTCTGAGTAGATAATTACACTATAACTGCATGTGGCCATTAGCCCTGATCTTTGAGAATTTGACTGTTTTTGCAAGGCCCAATCTTTCTTCAAATGTATGCGTATTACCTAATTTAAATACAAGCAAATAGCACAGGAGCACTAAGGAGCTGTTTGCTTGGCAGCACAGTCACAGGTGCATTTGCAGGTGTTTGAGAGTTACAAGGTTTCTTTTTGTCTTATTTGCACAGTTTTAGCAGCCATAGCAACACAATCCTTTATAAATTAAACACTCATTGTGATCTTAATAATAATAATACATTTTATTTACAGTATATAGTGCTTTTCACAACTCAAAGCCGCTTAATACACTAACCTTTTCTTTTCATTTGCCATGGGGAGTGTGAAATTATGTCACTATTAGCAGAGCTTGTTTCAACAAAAAAACAAACACAAATCTAACATTAAAGGTGGGGTAGGTAATTTTGGAGAAACCAGCTTGAGTGCGCTAGAATTTGAAAATAGACAACCGGAAAAAATCTGCCACTTCCTTACAGAGCCCCTCCTCCAACACACACGAACGCGCACATGACCAATGAGAGCACGAGATAAGTTTGTGNGAGAGAGAGAGAGAGAGGAGAGAGAGGAGAGAGAGAGAGAGAGAGAGAGAGAGAGAGATTGTAGTGTTTGTTTTTGACTCATAGTTTGCGTTAAAGGCTAATTTTTAGAGACTACAGAGCATCAACCATGTTTGAGTAAGTTACAGCAGGTCACGCCAAACAGAAATGCAAAAGGCCAAAGGGCGACTCCAGCATGACGGAAAGCTAATTGTTCTCATTATTGAGTCTACAGGTGCTCCGAAAAATTCGATGCTCAGGAATAGATTTTGCTCTGACATTCTACCACACTCATAATGTGTTTTTATGAAGCCTGCAAGGTTCGTACCAGAGATCGAACTGAGTTGATCTGCCATAGCTGTAAAACAAAGGTTAAGGAAGCATGAAATAATCCAACACATTCTTTCAGTGACTGGGACTTCAGTGCCTGATGTTGGGCCTATTTTTCTTTCTTTGTTTAAACCAAATGCTGCCTCCCTGATCTGCAAGCCAAAATCTCATCAACATAACATGAAAATAGGTTGGGGCTTTTTCTCCATTATTTCCACTGAAGTAATAGAAATCCCTCCCTAGGCGAATGTCTCAGCTGCCCAAACCACCCCTGGCAGATTTACTGAAATACAAAGCAAGTGTCCCAACTCATTCCTTTTCCAGGGCAGATTACATTTGCAGCGGCATTAAGAATGATTTGGCTAAATACAAAGAACTGACTACATTTCTAGGTCATGTAGAGCATATTCCATCTATGTTTGACACCTCAATCAAATTCATTGAAATTATTTGGCCTTATTTCCCCATTACATATATTCAGCAGTGCCACAGCTCAAACCAGTTGTTCATTTAATAACAAATAAAACAAACAGTATCCTTTTTTGCAGCATACACTTCTTTTAACCTTGGATATTGAATTTGTGTAACGTTGTCTTTCTACCACACATTTCCGTCCCATGTTCTTTGCATTTGTTTGTCCCCATAGTGAATCTTTGTGACGAGATCATCTATAAACTATTCATCTTCCAAACATGTCGGAGTAAGCCCTATCCAATTTACTGAATTATCATTTGAGCATTTACAGCCAGATAGCTTTTTTTTTAAATAAACTTGGGTCCCCAGGTGTCCTTTTGTCAAGGTCTTCATAGGTAAAGCTAAAAAATGCAGGTAGCGTACTAAGAGGCGACCCTTATTAAACCCATCTGCTTCCCTGTATCTGAAGGAACTCTGATTGCCTGCCTCAGACACACACACACACACACACACACACACACACACACACACACACACACACACACACACACACACACACACACACACACACACACACACACACACACACACAGACACATCTTGGACGCATACTTTCAGACACACGCACACTGCATGGTCACCACTTCAATTTGCAAGAAATGATTTGAGCTGTGTTATTTACACAAGACTTCCTCCAGTTAAAGGGTGAATGTGCTCGTTCAATTTCTTTCTCTTTTGTATTGGATTTATTTATTTCCTGTCAGTGCTGCTCCTATGTTTATTACGGCAATCTGCTCTTTCCTTCCCCTACCCTTTTTCTTTGCTCCCACCCCATCTCTGAGAGCACTATTACTCTTGCTGCCTACTCTGCTGTGGATGCAGATGCACTCAATTCAATTTCTCTACGCTGCTGCATAGGGGAAGGAAGGAGGGAGGGAGGGAGGGAGGGACGGGACAGGTACTGAGAGGGAGAAGGGTAAAAGGGGGAAATAAGAGGATGAGAGGTGTGGGATGGTGCACAGCAGGTTGACAGATTCAAGACTGCCTCCACCCTTTTTTCTCTCCTTGAAGGATATTATCATAGGAGCTTGACGTAGCTCAGCACACCACGGCCTGGCTTGGATCCCTTTCCCCGCCTCAGGCAGAAACAAGTACGTCTTAACCCTGATAGACGTACAGGTCTAATAGGAAATAGCTGGTGCTTGAGCTACTGCCACTAAGGTTAGAGTAAGGCGAGGCTGAGGGAAACCTTTGATCCCAAGCAACTGAGCAGATTCAGTCTTTCACTCTGAGTGTATTTGTGTGAGTGAGAGAGTGTGTAATATAGGGAGAGTAGGTGTCATTGTTCCAGCTGTGTCATTTCAAACAATAATTACAGCACATTTAACATCGTAAGAGGGGGAGTTTTTATCAGATGTACAGGTGCTCCAGATGGCACCCTCAAACAAGGTGTGAGTGTTAAACATAAATCCTGCAAATGTTTTTTTTTTTTGCATAAATCATGGTGTGTGTTTTAATCAGGGTCAAGATTTAATTGGTGCTTATGGCGAAGTAGTCCAATCAAAATGCATAAAATGCCAGCGAAGGAAAATCTGTGAGTAAAACCCTTCTGATATAATTCAGCCAAGCTAGTATACAATTATTGATAACTGTTTGCCAGCAGGGGAACAAAGATAGTGTGGGAATAGTTTTAGTGTTTCTTTTCCAGTATGCAGCTGTAGTATTTCACTGTAAGATCAAATTGTCCCTGAAAACCACTTTTCGGAGCAGCAGATCAAGGGAGTTTAGAGCCTTATTCAGAGATGTATCTTTTGTTATCTTTACCCCGCTAACACAATTTAATAGCTCATCAGAACTGAGCCTTCCAGTGCGGTTTTGTTTTCAGTATTATACTGCCTAACATGCTTTTATGTTCATTTGTGCGTGAAGTGCATGTGTCCAGCAAGTGGAGCAGCAGCATGTCAAACCACATTAACTTCTGAGGATCATCCATTCAACACGGTTTCTCACCTTGNAATATCTTAATCTTAATATCTATCTGCACAAACTTATCTCGTGCCCTCATACTTCCTTACAGAGCCCCTCCTCCAACACACACGAACGCGCACATGACCAATGAGGGCACGAGATAAGTTTGTGCAGATAGATATTAAGATTAAGATATTCATTGCTATCGGGATGTTAAGAGCATTCCATGGAATATAACAAAAAGTGTATCTCGAGCCGGTTTCTCGAAACTTACCTACCCCACCTTTAAAAGGCTGAGTAGGATTTTGTAGTGTTCTACAGTTCACATCACAGCAGGCAGTGTACAGACCTAAAGAGGTGGTTTTTCTATCTTCTAAAGATCAAAGGCATTTAAATTAATCATGTTTACTTTAAGGTGTGTTTCCCCCACCTGGAGATTGACTCAGGCTGAGATCAAAGTATAATCTGTGTTGAAACGTAAAGATCTGCAAGGGAGTCGTACATCAACAATTCCACATTCAACAGGAACGATATTCCAAATTCCCTTTCTCTCATCTCTATTTGTCCCATCCCAGCATGGAAACAGCCGCTCTATTAAAGTCTAGCAGTGAGTCTATTTGAGTTGCTCACTTTTTGCATCACTTCCCCTCATGACCGCTAATGGTTTGGCTTTGCTGAGGCTTTTCTTTCCAATTTAAATCCTCAATGTGACGTTTGTGTTGAATCCTTCAACTAATACCCAGACTCTTTATTCCCGATTCCTAGCTTCAACATGAATTATACAGTGTATCTAAGCATAACCATCAGAAGTTGTTCTCTGCTGCCTTAAAGGATTCTGTCTTAGCCACTGACATTCAACAGGTGAAAGTCAAACTTGAATTTCTTCTTTTCTTCTCCTTTCAAAATGTTTCATTTCCCCATGTAAATCTCCAGTTATTCCTCACTCACCCGGTGGCATGCCGATGCCGTAGCCCTTCGTATCCAGCAGTCCTCCAATCTGAGTCAGGTTGCAGTTCCTCTGACGGTAGTACTCGTTCATGGTGCTCTCTAGCAGGTAAGCATAGTTGGAGTTGAGGACACGGGCGATGCCCTCCTCCGTGCTCTTTACAAAAACACTGGGCTGTTTTGAGTGCATGAAGTTCCACATCCTCTGGTAGGTCTGGTAGCGAGAGTTCTGCAGAGCGGCGAGAAACAATCAAGAGAAACAAACAAATTCAGATGTGAAAGACGGTAAACAAAAAGTCTATCACTCACAGATACATCATCTCTCAGTTTTGCGCAGGTGGAAATTGGTTCTCCTCCGTTATTCTTTTTCATTATCTTGACTGATGGATTCATTCAAATTCTACAAAAACTTTGCAGCAGTTAAATGTAAAAGTTTTTATCTTGAGCAGATATTTTCCCACTTTATTAGCCTCAAAGTTTAGAACAGAATCTTCAACTAACATCTCCACCTGTCCTCTACTTTTTCATCACCTGTCTTTCCTGAGTTGATCAAGGTCTAGTGGACAGGCAAGCATAAAGAAAGGCAGGAAAAAGTGTATTTTTCCTTCCTCTCCATCCTTCACTTTCCTTCTCCCTGTCACACCTTCTTACTCTGTTTAGCATATTCCTATTCTCCCTTTCTGAAATTAAATCTTGAGGAGATGAAAGAGGATAGGGTGCGCCTCTCTTAGGGACCTGGACAGTGCATCTGAGGCTAAGTATATTTAATGGTTTTGGAAAGACACAGATAAAACCTTTAGAGAAAGGCAGGAAGGAAACTAGGACATTTGATCAGGAGGATCAGGAGAAACATCACTGATGGACCACTGATCCCTGCCGGTTTGTGTGTATATGTGTAGCTCTGAATAAACAACCTATCATGCGTAATAAAGTGTGTAACCTCTGACCTGGAAGAAGGTCATAGTGGATCCTCCGTGCATGGTGCCGTACTCTATAGCCGTCTGATCTGCAAGGTCGTCGACTGACTCAATTGGCACCTCCATCCTCTGGACTGTTAGGAAGGCAGCCAGGTTGGCGGTGTAGGATGAGATGATGATTAATGTGAAGGCCCACCTGTAGAGGAGAGGCAGGGGACAAGAACATATGTATTCACCTACAAAAGTATGTAAATGGGCAGGCTGCTGTATGAAGATAGATTGTCTGGGTGAAAGTGTGGGAGGATTTAAATAGCTGCGCACCTGAGAGGAGAAGACACTGCAGGATTTTCAGAGGATGACGGGGTGGATGCGAGAATGGGTGGGTGTGTATGGATAAAGGTGACAATGTTCGGTTTGGATGAAAGGAAGTGATGTTTTCGCTGCAAAGCCAGACATACACAGACAATGTCTCACAGATACACATGCTCAGAATCCATCACTTTCTTATCTTGAACCCTGGTATCCAGGATGTAGTTTCAAGATCACATGAAATATTAAATGCATTCCACGATGGAGCAATATGCAACAAATGATAACAGAGTTGAATGGGTGAATAACTGAGTGGTTTTTAAAAGATGAACATATGCAAATGCTCTCATGTTTGTGTGTCCTTGTCCCCAATACTTACCACACTCCACTGACACAACGTGTGGACAAAGCTCTGGGAGCGATGGTGGATCCTTGCTGCATGAAGCCTCCAACAGGGAACCAGAAACTGTTGCCAAGTGAGTATTGGTTGATCAGCAGGTTACAGCGACCCTTTAAACAGGGGTGGGGGTTGTACCACTCGTACGGTGTCAATCTAGGGAGAACGAGACAATGGGGTTAGACAACAGAGAGAGTCACAGGAGGAAAACAGCCAACAAGCGTGGAAATGAAAGTTGGATTAAGTATTGAGACGAGAGCAAAACTCAAGAGATATGGGGAAAGAAAGGGAGAGACAGACACAGAGCAAAACAACTCTGACAGTCAACTGAGCACAAAGTCACCTTGGCTCTCTAGAGAGAATTAACCTGCTTTTCATTCCCCATGTGCTGCCTACTTTCACAGTGTGGGGGGGTGCAATGTAATTGGTATGTTGAAATGGTGCTGCATTTCTGTGACAACTCTGTTATTTGCAAAAGTCTCTGTCTTACTAAGGCATAACATCTTTCTGGTCAGCGTAAATTAACAAAAGAAACATACAAAATGCACTTCACTCATTGCTCATTCGAACATTGAAATATTTAGTTTTTGTTATTATTTCTCCTGTGCAAACTGGCTGTGAAAAAAACCCCATAGTTTTAGTAGGATATTTCCTCTATGTTTCCCACCCTCTTGACTTGCTTGCTTTCTTATTACAAACACATTCACTTTAGTGGATTCCCATGTCATTTCTTTGGCTATGTTCTCCTTAGAACTGCATTTGAAAGTGGGAAATACATTACTGCCATTCATTATATTGTACATGTACATTACAGCATTTTAATTTGTTTAAGGACAGACCCGAAAAAACATGAACCTATCTTTTAAAATGTTTCACTGCCCAGTATGATCCTAAATATTGTTCTTAGCAAATGTAAGTAAAAACAGAAGGTGTATACAACTAAGTTTTTATGACAAATAAATATACGACCCAAAAAACTCACCCACCTTCTTGATCATTACATTCAATGTTTACTAGTAATTAGCAGGAGTAGCTGTGCCGTTTCCCTCCATGACCAGCAGGGGCCAGTATGACGCTGGAGACCCACCACTGGGAGGAGACCCTCTCCTTGATGGGATGAGGACTACAGACTAGATAGATAGAGACTGAAGCAAGGCAAGAGAACAGACAGACAGCTGTTTCCTCCTTTGTGTAACCCCCAAACAAACCTTTTTGTGGTTTTACTCTCTGTTCTCTACCCCCTTTGTATGTCTCCTTGTTTTTTTCTCTCTCTCTCATCTGTACAGAGTATTTTGGTGAGCAGTTTACCTGGCTACAAGAAACAGGACGCAGCTGACAGCCAAGTATGCTAGAAGCATGAAGAGCCAGACACCAGGGGAGAATGGATCCAGAAAGGAGAAGTAGCCTGGCCTACGTCCCTGAAAAACACAAACACACAATAGGCATTAAAAGCATGAAAGCCTGCACAGACTGTGACCACTGTTATCCAATGTTCCATTCACACAAACCAAACAACACTGGCCTTTGCTGAGCAGAGAGCTTAGAGGTTAAATCATTATTTATTGAGGTGCAGATTAACTAATTAGTATGCTAAAAAACCTCTAACAGTTTCTAACATCATCCCCTAGAAACTGCGTGCCCTGGACTAATTACAAAAAAATGTTGATACATTTTCGAGTTGATTCATTTGCCTCTGGCCCATTTCTGTCTGTGTTAAACAACATTTGCTGCCGCCTGTGTCATTTGGAAATGATGAAAAGGTGACTGGGACAGTAAATAAAGGCATTTTCATGTGATAAGCCTAGATTTCCCTGTCCTTAACTGATAACAATATAATTATATGAATCTCATTTGCGTGTAAAGATTCAGGTCAACATTGAATGAAAGCACAAACCCAGTCTCCCATGAATTGTCAACAGAGGGGCACAGGGCTGTATATTGATACAACATCACAGATAAGAGGTTTTATTTCCATGATTCGGGGACTATGACCATTTAATGAAAAACTGAAAACTGCTGACCATTACCTAACTGCTTTCTGTTAATTGGTACATGTTCTCACATGAAATCACATTAGATATAATAGGACGTCTAATCATATTGAAGGTCAACATTATGAGGCGAACACCATTTGCGCCCTCCACAAGGTTGCATGCACCGAAGACAGAAAGGTCAAATAATCAGGTAAACCATTACAGCTACATTACACCAAAGTTAATTTCTATGACCTATACCTGACTTCCTGTATGACTGGGAGCGTACAGTGCTCAAGCTTGGAGGAAATAGGCAAAGAGGTTGATACCTTGGAATGGAGAGAAAGCTATAGGGTGTATTTATTTGGATTGGTAGTAAGGGAGATAAAGTGTCTTAAATAAGGTTGGCAGCTGGCATACCAATTGGAATAAAGGGGCTAATTGCTAACGTTTCCTGCACCAAAAGTTATTGTTCTCTAAATGAAACAAATGAATGCGCTTGTGTGCGTGTCTTTAAATGTCCATGTTCAGCCTAGCCTTGGTGACCGAACATCAGCAAGGGAATATTAGCCGCTTCCACACAGATGCACCTACAGTTACACCATCTGATAATGACTATGAAATGTAGGTGGTTGTCACTGCCAGCAACATAGTTAAATAGTGGAGTGATCAAACAACCAACTGTCCAAGTGTTGTCATCTTTCATTTCTGTCTACAGACAATATTGTGGGGCCAACCTGAACAAGCCCTAATCGCTTTTATGCAAAAACACTCAATTACTGTAGGTACTCCTGAGGGACATCACACATGCCAAAACACTGCAGTAATACATTTCTGAGGCACTCCAAAATTAAATTTGCAGCAAGAGGGTGAAATAATTTTGGTGGACATTTGTTATGATAAAACGAACCCCCATTTAGACTTGCGCTCTGATGAAAATTCATTAATTCGTCTGTAATCACTTCCATATTAGCCTGACTGAGAAGAAAAGGAGTGGTGCAGAAAGCAGGAGGAGAATGAGATTCAGTATAATTTTTTGACGCAGCCTGCCAGGCCTAATGTCTGTCTGTCAATCTATGGAGTGTAATGCTTATGATGATAATGATCATAGCTTTCTCAAAATAGAACAGTAGAGTGGTGAAACACTAGATGGCCATCAGAGGTAGAGTACTGCTGTAAAACAAATAGTACTCTTATTGGCACAAGCATTCTTGGTGTAGCAGTACATTGTGTGCTGACATAAGTCCTGCTGGTCCAGTTGGATGTATGCTGAACAGAGTTTTGATAAATGCTTTCCCTGCATGTCCACATCTTAGGCTCCCACCAACGTGGTATCATTTAGATCAGTGCTTCTCAAAGTGTGGTCCGCGGACCACTGGTGGTCCGTGAGCGCCCCCTAGTAGTCCGTGAGTATATTGGTAAAATTTCATATTTGAAATTAATTAATAAATTAAAGTTTTCCGCACTCTCGCGGGAATATCTCCACAATGGAGCTAGCTTAAGTTTCACTTTCAATTGCATGCTATAGCCCAGCGCAACACCTTCATCACACATGTTGCTACTTGTTTATACCATTTTCAGGCGATTTGTAATCTGTTCTAGAAAAACGATGTATTTTTGTATATTTGTGGAGTTAGGTGGTCCGCGAGTGTTTTTTTATTGGTTAAGTGGTCCTTGGTATGAAAAAGTTTGAGAAACACTGATTTAGATGAAGAGAGCTGCAGAGACACGGGACACCTATGCTAACAGATGGTGGAGAAGTGAAGGTGCAGGGGAGCAGATTAGAAAAAGAGAGTAAGGTAAAAGGAGACGCAAATCACAAGGACGAGAGGGACACAGTGGGGGATGCAAGCTGCTGAGAAATGTAACATTTGTGGTTATGTGTACTTTAACACTCTGAGACCAAGTTTTATTTCAGCTGCCGGAGGGGAAATTATCCGTTGCCAGGCTTCAAGAGACACACTAATGAGTACAAAGACGGTCAGATAGGCGAAATGGGAACTGCATAAAATGTATTAAAACAATGTGTGCATGTTTCCAGAAATGTGTCAGGAGATATTCCCTAGAAATATATTTTTCCCATTTTATGTCTTGTTTAATAATCCTAGAAAGAACAGGCTTATTTAATTAATCTTCCTTATATGATAATTTTGTGATGACATAAACTTAGATCTGGGTTAGTATGATGTTTGACATAAGGTCACTTTTTAAAAGCTGCACATACAGTATCAATACTGTTATACTACAGTGGATCAGAATACTTTGTATAGTATAATCTTAAAGAGTCTCGAGAAGGGATAAAACAATAAGACCAACTCAATAACGCTACAGAGCATTAGCCTTTGAGCACATTGTTTTTATTTAAGTGCAGCAACCAACCCAACTGTATACTTCCTGCCAAGCACTAAAGAACAGACAGGCAAACTGATGTACTGACAGTGGCTGGCGAAAATAATGAAGCATTACACTCCTATCCAAAACATATCCCTCAATGGTTGGAGGAGACCAAAACAGAGCAAAAAAGAGTATATATTGGATCTATATTCATCAGATTGCAAATTAATTAAGACTAACTTTGCTTTTCGTCAGCTCGATGTGTTTATATTGTAATCAACTTTTATCTAACAAAATGTATAGAAGTCACCCACATCCAATAACCCTAGAAGGTAGGTGCTGGACCAATGGAAGAAAGAAGTAAAAACACACTGTAGCTTAAGGGCAATATACAGTATAAGCACAAGTGTTAATGTGTTAACACAGCTGTTAAAGTTCAGTACAGTTCTGTAAGTGCACATTCTTGCTTGAGTTGAGGTGACCTACAGAACAGGCTGACTGACTCCTATTGATGTAAAAGAATATTGAAATCTGTCCTTCACAGACCTCAGATTCATCTCTGCGACCGAGGACTCAATGTTAGCATAGTTTTAAATAACTTATGAATGTAAATATTGAGTTTATTTAGTAATGCATAAGTAATCAGGGATAAATTGACTTGAGAGAGCAATTTCCTAAACTTTGCAGTGCATCCAAATGGTCTATTGTTTAAACAGTGAGCTCATAGGGGGTCGGCTCTCTCTTCATTTTAGAAGTAGCTGTGCGTTTGTATGTGTGTGTGCTTGTGTTTCAAAGCTTGTCAGCAGCTGTCTGTGCTGTCAGTCAGCAGCAGGATAGATACAGTACGTGCTTGGGCAGCCGAGTGCCGGGGAGCACCGGTGCTGAACACAGGAGGAGCAGGTAGCTGACTTTTGGCTGGGGAAAACACAGCAGCCATGGCTAGCCTGCTAGTTGCTGTTAAATGGGAGATATAAGCTTGGAAAACACTGAAGACTCTAAAACTAGGAAGTAGGGAACAAACAAACAGAGAGTATTGACATTAATAATTGACCCGGTGCTTGAGTTAGATATTAAAAGTAAACCTGCTGCCATAAAGGGATTTGATAGTAGAACAAGCGCCAAATGTGAGTGTATAAGCACAAATTATATCCACAGGTTGCCTTGGCTCCTCACACATAAACATTTGGTACTGCGTTTGACTTATTTTTATTAGAGGCAGGGGAATAATTTTATAAAAGGTTTATCGTTAAGTTAAGATGATGTGAAGCAAATCAAAGGACGGAAGAGATTGCAGACGTGGTGCAGAGGGGAATCGTCCTTAACGACTCATTTTTATGAGTACATCTCAACAAATAGAGGAGCGAGGAATTGCTGCCTATTAAAGTATGTATATATCCTCGTTTCTATAAACACGCAGATGAAGAGCTCCTTCATTTTTACCTGGCATTGCCCTTGTTCGCTCCACACTTCCCAATGTCCCTTCTACATCATCCCTCTCTTTTGCTGCCTCTCTCAGGATTGCCTGCATGCCAACATTGAGGGTGGCTGAAGGAGCTGGTCCCGTCAAGGATTTCACCTAGTCATCCTGCCTCTTGGTATTCAGATAACATTGTTGCCCCCTACGGCTGCCTGCCTGAATACGGACCCGCAGAAGGACACTTATTGTCATTTCAATTCTCGCTCTCATTTCTCCATCTTCTCTCCACCGTTTTTTTTCTCATTCTGTCAATTTCTTGCTAATTCTCTTTCATGTTGTCTATCTTCCTCTCCTTCCCTGGGTCTCCTCACCTTCAGTCTCATTTTCAGGGCTCTTTCATAGCATGTGCATTTCTAGTTGTGTCAGTGCCGACGCCAGGAGCTCTTACTGTTTGAGATAGCAGCGGGGGCAATCTTCAAAAAGCTGTTGATTTTGCAGAGTTCACGGGTCATGTAAATATCAACATCACGCTGTCCCCTGGGCTCACTAGGTTGTCTGTTTTCATGTCTGAGTGCTTTGTTTGGTGCGACTGTCAATTACAGAGTGAAAGTATGTATGTGTCTGTGAACGTGTATGTGTGCAAGGCTACATATGTTTTTGTCTGTGTCATTTTGTCTGAGGTCGTGGGTGGCCAGAGAGTCAATAAAGCTCCATATGCCCAGCTTTACCCTCAGGGCAGCTGTTGAATTAAACACAGCCTCCACACACCACTAATTAGTTCTTATGTCTAATTAAGCACCACTCTCCTACTCTAATATATACACACATGCACTGCAGAACGGTCTCCAAAATGAAGGAAGTGTGTGGTTGACAGAACTGGCACTGATACAAAGTACCTCGGAGTGTTGGGTTCTTGGGTTACAGCATATGGCCATTTGTTGCGCAGATGATGAATGTAATAGGGATGTTTTTTTTATTAGAAAAGGTTGACATTAGCTCTAGGTTATGTTCCTAAATCTAAATTCCAATTCACATTTTGTACCGGCTGCTAAAATGAAGGTGTGCTGTTTGATTTGTGTGTAAAAGCAAATCAAATGTATGTGTTCAGTATAGCCTCAAACTACTTGCATGTCTCGCACACACTATATAAGATAAATTGCCACATGGCTGCATACAGCGAATAACTAAAAACCACCAACCAGGCACGAAATAGCAGTCAGGCAAGACATCTGAAGAACCAAGACAGGTACAGATCGACTCTGCAAGGGCTTCAAGCTGTCTTATATCTGTTCCTGAAGTTTTTTTTCTTTTTATCATAACAGATTGAGTATACAAGGCAGCAGTAATCCCTTCTGAGTATCAGATCATAAGTGGAGTTTCATAAAGGAATGCATTTGGTCTGAATTTAAAGGCAGTGATGCTCTGGGAACAGTTGTATATAGCTTTGTAATACACTTGACCAATTATAGCCTAAATATAATTATACGTCTTACTATATTGTTCTAAAAAATATATATATTGTCAATATTTACTGCCTTAAAATGTTAATATGTGTCACACTGTTAATAAATACAAAATAATAAAAACACAGTGTGAGAGGGAGACCGACATACAATACAATACATACATACTGGTAAAGAAGAGAGATATTTATTAAATGGCTCTTTCTTTGCGGGTAATTGATACTCAACATGCACCTTTATTTTATTGCATTTGCCATTGTTATTGATTAGGCTGAAATTTTCATTTAAAGTTTGAAATAAGCAGCAAATCTCCTTGTAGAAATCACTGGGCCTCAGATCAATAGTCAGTGGATTCAAACTAAACAAGTGCAGTCACATAAATTCAAATATTGAATTTTAGAGCCATGCTGAGGGGCCGCTCTGAGTCAGATCTGAGAAAATGCCGAGGGGCAATGGGAGCGTAAAAGGAGTAGGTAATGATTGTGGGATAGAGAAATAGTGAGAGAGAGAGAGAGACAAGGGACACCTGTCTTCCCCTCCCCTCTTATCTTTAACCTTTCTCTCTATCTTTTCAAAACATTCATACACCAGCGCATTAACTTCAAAATAACTGATTTCTTCATTTCCACGTACGCGGTTTGGGGTCAACTGGGCCAAGTCTGTGCTAATTTAACTGTGTTACTCTTTGTCCACCCTGAGGGGACATCATATCCATATCAGAGCCCTGCACAGGTCAGAAACTCCAGACATAGCCCCACGAAGTCTGCACGTTTTCAGCCTGACCCCGACCCCAGCCTGAGAGCGACACCAATCACTTCAAAATCTCTCTGACACATGCAAAAACACACAATTTTAATATTTATAACATACATTTAAACAATATATCATACAGTGGCCTAAACCTGTGTGTGTTTGCGTGTGTGTGTGTGTGTGTGTGTGTGTGTGTGTGTGTGTGTGTGTGTGTGTGAATATGTGTGTGTGTGTGTATCAGAGGTGAACATTGGCCAGATGAAAGGAGAAAAGTTACATGAGCCTTAGTAACACCTGAGCCCGGTCTATAAGAAAAATGGTCCAAGCCCGGCCCAAATCGACTTAGCGTGTCGGGGCCTTTGGGTTGCAAACCTCTATTCCAAATCACCTCCTCATGCGGCTACCAACCTGCCTGCCCCCCACTTCAGAGGTGATATGCTACCCAGCAGCCCATTTAACACTGCACCTGCTGCGAGCATCGATTGATTTTGCCCAACTGTTGGCGCTCAATTGAGTCCCTCACTGCTACACCTATTAGTGCTGGACTTTGGGAAGGTGAGAGAGAGGGAGGTTTACAAGAAGCGGAGACAGGAGTAAGGGGGGATGTGAGTAAACGCCCCTATGGGATACTACACACGTGCCAGATCACCTCAGTGCAGACTGTGGCCCTGTGTCACCTTGGGTTTTGGGGGAGGACTGATGATTTATGGGCCTCTGATTCTGCAAACACCGGCTCATTTCCACCTGCGCTGCTGTTATTTCACTGTTTCCTGCCTGGGCTCGCTCTCTGCAGAGCATGGGGGGTATAACTTGTGTGAATGGGATGGCCAAACCCAAGCAGAGGGCAAGCAGAAAACAATTGTAAAACTGGTACATTCATCAGGAAGTTCACACAGTAAAACACGCCATATGGTGCTGGCAGGGTGGGGGGCCACGGTAACAGAAGGAGGAAATGAGCAAACACAGGAGAAAGGAAAAGTGCTGGACACTATTAAAAAGTTGAGACTACAGGGAAAGGAGTGGAATGCAAGAAAGCGAGACTCAGGCTTGGAGGAGAGGAGGACAGAAGGAAGAGGAGGGTATGGCCGTGAAAACACACAAATGCAGGGTGTTGTGTAATAGAAGCTTCGAATGAAGAACCAAGCACAGTCTATTTCAAACTGAACCTTTACTTTATATTCCTTAAACAGTTTCCAAAAAGAACGGTGGAAGACAGAGAAAATGCACTCGACATGCTCATATTCAATTTTGATAACAACAGGAAGCAGTTAGAGGAAGACATACTTGCACTTCAAAATAAAAGCATTTCTTGTAAAACGTACCTTTTAACTTATACCAAGAAATCAAATAATCAAATGCTTTACTGCCTTAAATAACAAGTTACAACACAGGGGAAATAGTGAAGCTGAGAAGTTAAAGTGGTGCAAAGGAGGAGATTTTGGAGATAGACTTTTCAGTCCAAAAAGGAGAGTGGTTCTTTAGCAGCCATTAGACAAGGCTGACTGCCCGCTGTGATACGCCCACAAGCTGTACGTGGGCCAGTTTGATCTGGTGGAGTTAGTGTCTGTGGGGGGCTGCTAGGAGTTAACTCACCAGGTGGACGCGGTACATGATGCTGATGCCGAGGGTCATGTAGGGCTTGGAAAAGTCGATGACCTTTTCACGCTCTGCTGTGATGGTGAGGCCTGCAACTGCCAGATCAGCTTTCTGAAACACAGAGGGCGAGTAGAATCACATCATGTTTACACTCAGTCAAAAGGCATGCTGGATATAGCCAGGGGGAGGGAACACAAATTAATGACATAACCAATCATTTGGGCGATTGAAAGGATGACATAGGAAGTGGGCTACTAGATGCTAACTCCCTAATAATGGCCTTTTGTATCACATAGCCTATTTGTCTGCCTTTACCGTTATCTGTTAAGAGGATAATCCAGCATTGACACTGTGTGGGAGTGTGTGTGTGTGTGTGTGTGTGTGTGTGTGTGTGTGTGTGTGTGTGTGTGTGTGTGTGTGTGTGTGTGTGTGTGTGTGTGTGTCTGGTGTGTATGTGTGTGTAGGGCTGAGGGTAACAATTGTGGCTGGCCGAGGGAACACTGTCAAGACAAATCACTTGACAAAGCAATGGCTGGTAAAACACACAGACAAACACACACAAGTAGAAATGGTCAATGTACGCTGAATACTGGATGGCTCCCTGCTAATAATGCGGGCCAGCAAAGTGCAACTGCAAGGGATTTTTCATCTCCCTGAGGAGCAAAGAGTGAAAGCAGCAACGCATTGCTCTTTGTCTGCTGCAGGAGAACTAAGAGGATTGGGGAGACGGAGAGGAATGGGGAGGATGAGAGTGAGGAGAGAGGAGCTCTGCTGCAGCACTGCAGACGCCACTCAAAATCCACAACACGCTGTTTGTATTTCCAGGAAAGAGAGACAGGGAGTAGGGCATCTAGCATGAATGAAAAAGTGTTTTGCATTTTGACGTGATGTGAAAATTGATCATTCTTTCCCCAAAATCAACTAGTGCACGTTAAAAACACTCCCAGGAAACATTTAGGGCTCTAATCTCGCTCTGTCTGTGCTTTAATTAGTGTATTACACTTCACAATGTCCACCTTTTTACCATTAACCTAGCCTCCACTCCACTCTGAGCCTAATGTCTCCTGCTGCCCTACCCTCAGCCCGCAGGCTACGATCCTCCATCATCAGCTCTCCCCGGCCCCGCCTCCTCTTTTGTCGTTTGAAAGTCTGATCGTCTGCTCCCAGTGCCGGAAGGAAGCAACGCGCAGGGATCGACCATCCAGGCAAATTCCACAAAGAAAATCACTGATCCTTTGAAAAATGAACAAACGGTCGTAACAGCCACTGAAATATTTATGTGCTGGTAGAATATTAATATTGATTACCAGATTCATCTGCCTGCCTTCCCGCTGTTATGCCTTCTAGTGTAACTGAAAACAAAACATCACACTGTAATACTGGTTGTGTGTAATGTCGCATCATACCTGTTCCCACTTGCATTCCATCGTATCATGCTAACATGGTAAAAAAAAAGCAAAACAATGAAACTTGTGAATACTAGGGATGAATTAAACATTACCCTCTATGTAGAATTTGACTTTGTGTCTTTGGGGATGCCCCTTCTCTCTAACTGCAGCGCTTGTGGATTAAGGAACAAGGACACACTGTACTTAGACTTTGGTCTGAATTCCTTCTGGTATGTCTCACTGTTAGCTCAGGCTTAGTGACACCCGTCAAACTAATTGCCCTCACACAGTGAAATATTGCTCGGTCTGGATGATCCTGGCAGGGACACAGGTATCTGTTGACCGGAATAACCTAAGGCTGTCCTCTTTTGCTGCTACCGAGTGTACATTTCATATTCTTTCAACCTATCCATTCAATGTACAACCATGGCTGTTCCTTTGTTTTCTTTCACAAGCATTTCACTCTGCTGTCTTTCCCATTCCTTTGAGCCTTTATCCAAAAAAGCCCAAGCCTTTCTGTTCCTCAGGGAACATCCCTCCAGATGTCCCATATCCCGTGACAAATCCCTCTCAAGCACGTCTTGACTTTGTGTCTCGCCCCCCCCCCCACCCTCGCCACTCCACAGCTCAAGCTCCTGTCAGAGAGGTTGGCTTCGACCATAGTTCTTCTGAAAGTCACCCGTCCACAGGCAACTAACAGGCTTTGACAATAACAAGAGTGGGCACTCCTTGCTTTACATACTTAATTACTTTTCCCTCCATTAGCCCACAGAATTAAGACAGATCACCTCTTAGGATTGGCTCAATTCCTCTCTACTTCATTTCTGTTTTTCTCTTCCTCACCCCAGCCTTCCGTTTCACTTCTCTTCCTCCCCCTCTTCTCCCCTCAGCTCCTTATAACCTTATCTGCCTGTTAACGGCTACATACAGTGTAGCTGGAGGAGGGTAAGACCTCACTCAGAGATTTAACAGCAGCAATATAGGCCGATTCAGGAGTAAAGTGTGTTATGGTCACTTCAGAAGGCTTAAGGGAAGGAGCTGACAGAAAACAAGCCACCAACAAGCTGTGACTGCTTTGGAAAACACAATGTATAAGATGAAAAGGTCGACTGCTGAATCAAAATGTGTCTATGATAAAAAGGAAAGCTGTTAGCTTTGCAATTTATCAAAGCTGAGCGATATACTTTAGTGTTTTGAGTATGTCAGTGCACAGTGAGAAGTACTTTGGATGTATGATGTGATAAAAACAGGCTGCATTCAGTCTGTGTATGTTTACATACCCGTGAGATTAGCTCTCCCACCATGCCGGTCCACGATCCGTTGGCCCCGGGAACCCCGTACAGTCCGTCCCCCACCAACCGGATTCGATACTTGAACTTGAGAATATCTGCTAGCTCTTTCAGCATGTCCACACAGAAGCCTTCGTAGCGATCATTTCCCTCAAGTTCTTGGTGGTTTGGCCGCAGCATCACATATGGATTCTCCTGAAAAACACACGGTTTGTCACAGTCTTAGACAGTGCATCTCAAACTGACTGTCTACTACTGGTCGAGTGACAAAGTAAGACATAGAAAAGATACTGAAGATATATTTCAGTCACAGGAAACACAACTCAAACCGAACAGCACTAGGTGTCCGGGTTACTTTTCATAAAAAATCCTTTAAGGCTTGTCAAAAAAATTAAAATAAACTGTGGAGGAAGTTTCAAGACTGAAAAATGACTCTTGCTTTACAAACTTGGATTGTTAAGTCTCAAATACTTTGACAGAAAGGTTCTCATGAAATGCGGGACTGAGTTCTATTATGGGACGTGTAGGATTCATGGGTTCATTCGAGATGAGACAGGACATCTTAGTTGCTTAAATTCTAACAATCTTCTTCTTTTTTTAAAGCCTCAACAACCTTTGGACAGCATTCTAAAAAATGTAGTGTGCATATTTATGTTCAATATGACTGCTTTGCTCTATAGTTAAGAAGAATGGTGGCAGCATCACATAAGGCCTTTGGAGGTCCTTGTTCACATCCAGTAAGCCTTGAATGTAAACTGAGATTTGTGGATTTGAAGCCAGTGCCAGGCTCTAAAATCTGTTATATCTGCAAAAAGTGGATAAGAAACAACAGCAGTTTCCCTCTCACCACACGCTCACACACCTATTTACAACCTGTCTTTTAGAAAAGCAACTCTCTGTTTGGCTATCTCTTTATTTATGTCTTGTTTTGTCATTTAGTTGATGTTGTGAAAAGATTTAAAGAGCACCGCAGTGATGTATTTTGGAGCCTATAGCCAGCCTCTATTGTGCTATTTTTCAAATAATGCAACTGTCATACTAGTGCGCACAGGCTCCACTACATCATAAAAAAGACAGCATAATGTAGCACTTTGCAGTTGCCTCGTCCCTGCACTCAGCTCATGAATCCAGGTAAAACAAACTTACTTTGGCAACGTGACATTAGATAAAAATGAATAACATCAGTGTTTTCTCATACAGTTTGTGCTCCACATATTTTTTAAGTGAACAAGGCTGAAAGAAACTAAAGTTCTGTTCACTTTTTTTCAGTGGATAGAAGTTGTATTGTGTGTTATTTTGAACAACTCAGGTTTATGTGGTTATGCTAAAAAATATACTACCTCACAAACCATGCTCTTGTTCAAGAGATAGTCGACTATAGCGGGGAGTGTGTAATTCAACACAGAGCCATGTGCGTAAGCCATTTAAAGCACTGTGACAGCTTTCAGGAGTCTTAAGCATACAGAGTAGTGTTGTGGTGTTTTTTCGGAACTGGAAAAGAAGTGAAATTGTTTTGTAATCGCCACAGCTGGAAGTACTTATTTGCTTGGTGGCTGGTTGGCGGGAGATTGATTTGCCTCACAGTGAAAGCCAGAAAAAAGATTTGATCCACACAAATCGGGAACATTTGAGAACTTTGCTGCACATCAGGTGGCACAACTGTTACTGTGACTTGCCCAGTTGTCATGGCAACTGTTTGGTTCCACCTGTAGCTGCTTACTGGAGGAGGAGGTGTCACTTTGTCAGCAGATTGGACGGCTTTGCCTTTTCTTGTCTGCATCAGTGGGCAGTAGAACCAACAGCCTCCTGTTCTGCTGCGATAAGACTGAGAATAAAGTCACTTCTGATCGACTTTCTGTCTGGATCTCTACACCAGGAATCGGCATATGGATTCAATTATATCTAACCAGACTCACAGTTTGATCAAACATACTTGCTTTACAGCTACAATAGCCTAGAGAGTCTTTCAGAGAAAGGGGTATACGACACATACAGTATCTTTGGTAATATTCTTTATTCCAAACCCATATCAATTTGATCCCACTAAACTTGATTTTGCGTATTCCTCTGTGCCATTAACCTCAGAGGCGTTGAGCTAACAACAGCTCTTTGGTTAAGGTCCAAAAAAAGCAAAGGCTTTGATTAGTTGTAATGCAATTCTATGTGCTTCAAATTTCTATTCAATTTACTTCAATACAAAAAAAACACAAGATGTCTCTCTAACATTAACCGATTCACTCTTAACTTCTGTTTGTGCTAAAGACTACAGTGGCAAGCTGTTCGATTTAAAATACAAGATCAAAGTCACTCAAGTTTTTTGCCGCTAAGGACATTTCATAAATGTATCACATTTTGAAAGTAAATCCCTCCCTCTGTTAATTAATTTCTTGAAACAAACACAATTTGCAACTTCTGGTTTTACACGACATCTAAACATGCTCATGTTTCAGCATGCATGAGGCACAATATAAAAGCACATTTCATCTATGTTACAGAAGGTTCTCACAAAGACTAGCAGTCAAACCAGACTTAGTCAGACATTTTCACTCCCTTTAAAAAAGTAAGTTGCCTGGAGGATTTATTATATATTATTATATTCCATTACAAAAATGCAAAAACATGCCGAAATGGGGTCTTTATTATTAGTGCCATCCTCTTTGTTCAATTGCTCCTAATGAGGAGCAATATCAAGTTTATATATCTGCGTATTTGATACTAATTTCAAAACCTCTACCAAACTGACACAAAAAGTATACAAGCCTTCTGTGGAGTTGAGAACAAAATGATATCAAAATAAATACATAAACGTTTTAAAAGTTTATACAGGGGTATAAAAGTGCCAATTCAAGCAAAATCACAAGGACATTCGAGCTGCTTTCTTTCGCACATCACGGCAAAAGAGCAATAAAGCTTTAAAGAAATCCTGACTTTTAAAGCAGCCTCCTATTCCCAGGCCATGAGGTGTCTGTTTGTGGACTGATCACTTTGGAGGATGAAGCATTCTCCTACATATGCACGGTCGAGTACACACACACACACACACACACACACACACACACACACACAATACACACATACAGGCATAGAGCGGCAGGTGCATCTGTGGCTGCTGCTCCCATTCAACTTCCTGCTCCACAGCTTTTCAAACCTCAGCGTGTTCAATATGTCTTCACAGAACCATCCTCACTGCCCTCAAATGTTTTCTTATCTGTAAAAACGTGTTCTCCAGAGCCCAGTGAACTAGCAGCTGAGATAACATTTTCTCACAGGGTTTGGTACTTTGTGCCACATAAGCTAAATATGAGGTCATTGTTAAAAAGGGCCAGGTTATGTAAATGTTTTATGAATTTCAACAAACTGTGCTTGATGTTAAACAAAATGCAGAAAATATGAATACAGAGAAGCACACACAAACTTCAAGAAACAGGGACAGATCTGGTGTCTGTGTGCAATTCAGGTGCACATGCCTCAGTGCGGCTGAGCCTCTGCTTTTATCTGTTAGCTTTGTGTGCACTGTATAATTCTTCCCAATGCATATGTAAGTGGGTAGAAGAGCTCTCAGTGACGCGAGGCAAGTCTGCAGAGAGAATGACCACGAGAACTGCAGTGGACTCAGGCAGAAAGTGTCTCTTACAGCAGGGAATTATGGGCCGTTTCAGGCATTAACAAGAAAAATGGGTCTTGGGCTGGGATTTAAATATTGAGACGGTATGATTCCCTAACAATGGCAGAAAGCTGGCACCAAAGAGAGATGTCCCTGTAGGTAAAGCTCTGCTCCATTTGATTTCTTTTTAGAAACAAGGAATAACAAGCAGTCCTTAATTCTGCGAGGAAGGAGCATGAGTAGAATTTAAGAGCATAATTAAATGAGATACTGTATATTAAAACTCAAGGCTGTTTAAGTATTTGCTAGTGGTGTAATAACCAAATGTATCTATTGAAGCCAGTGAAAAATGAAAGATAAATCCCTCACTTAAATGTGTGATATATGATGTGAGTTGTTTATGGACTTGGTATTTTTCTCACTATCTAGCCTATTTGCTTTTGTGGATTCATTAAAAATGAAGGACCTATGATGCACAATAATATGATGCACAATAATATTACAATATCTTTCAACATTATTGTTGATTTCAATGTGTGACCAAAGGGAGAAAGGGGTGCATCTGATAATGAGTATTATCATGGGGAAGTGGTGGTGGCTGATGGTGGTCAGTTTTGCAAAGAGAGCTTAAATGTCCAGGTGGAGAATTTTAGAATAAATAAAGAGTTTAACTTGTACAAGTTTGATTCATTTGGGAACAGATGTGCACTGTAGGAGAACCTTATAAAGACAAGCACATATATCTTTGAGGACTATTCAGTGATACTCTGCTTCAGAGACTTTGTTTTAGGTTGTTCAAGGAGCTTGGATGCTGCTATTCTTGTTAGAAAGTCCAATAGCTAGATCTATAGATGTTCCTGATTCTAGTTCAACCTCAAAATTATACATGTGCCATGTTCCCTCAAACAGGTTGTCTTATTGAGAATCCAGAAGATATGAAAACTCATGAAGTCCAGCAGGCACACAGTCCCAATGCAAATCACCTGAGGTCTATAAGAATTGGAAAAGATGACAGTTTCTACTGTGTGTGACAAGCTACTGTAAATTTGAACGGAGAGAAAACGCAATACCCAACAATATTACCTCAAGAAAGCAAAGAAAGTTTGTATTAGCTACTGAGGGTATAAAGCAGGCATGGCCAAACTAAGGCCCGCGGGCTTTTGAATCCGGCCCGCCGAAATTATAGTAAAGACCGCATTCATTTTGCCTTTTTCCTGCAATACCCGACATTTTAGTTGATCCCACTAGATGGCGCACTCTAGACACAATTTACCTTTGCTGGAGTCTGGTCTATTTTCTCAGCTGGCCCCACTCGGCAACCCGGCAAGATCGGCTAATACAAGTTGTAACAAGCAGTAGTGCTGAGCAAGGTGACTAGAACGCGACCACACACTTATAAAAACACTTATATAAAGTAAGGCAACACTAACCAGGCTTAGTGTGATTCTGTTTATTTTACCTTATTTTAACAACCATCCGTTCACTGTTATTGACCATTGTGAAGAGACAGACGTTTTCCTGTTGTTTTGTATTATTGCAGCTATCGGATGGAATCAATACATGAGCTACATGTGGCCATCACAAGTAAAATCATAACGAAAACTACGCCGGTAAAATATGCGTATAGAAAACGGCTTATGCCACAATATGATAGCAACAAGTAGTCATGATAGTCTGATTAGCTAACATCACCAGTCAGACAATGAAAACTTTACAGCGTGGCCGCTGCCGCGAGTTAACGGGAGAATAAACTCCGGTAGACGAGCAGCACTGCAGCGGGCGGTAATGCAGCTGAACCACATTAATAAACAATGCACCACGGCAATCTGGAGAAAGGTACAAGGTTGGAGAAGTAGTTCTTTAATTTAATCTGGTTTCGCATAATTAAAAACTACCCGACGCAGTCCTCTATTGATGTTGTTGTGAGTGGTGTTGCGGAGAAAATCAGCGACGTAAAACGCTGTGTGGGTCATAAGAAGGCACGTAAACTGTTACGTCATGACGCAAACGATGACGCAATGACGCAATAATTCACCTTTGAACCTAATTCACCTTTGAACCTGCATCTGAAACAATGAGTGGACCAAAGAAAAGAAAAGTAATGTGCCGAGTGTATAATGAGGAGTGGACAGCTAAATATTTTTTTACCGATCTGCTACTGGCCCGGCCCGCCTGTCAAATTTAAAACTCATAGTGGCCCCCGAGCCAAAAAGTTTGCCCACCCCTGGTATAAAGCCATTATTTCACTAACAGTGCCTCCAACCAACTCAATTTCTGATTACAAATACATGGTTTGTGGTCCTGCAGTGAAGTGATCATCAATCCTGTGACCCCGTGAGCTGTTTTTTTAAATTGAAGTGGGAAGATGACAGCCATGTGTAGGTGTAATGAAACTGCCTTGTAATGGCCAGGTGAACATTTCAAGAGAGCACAAAAACACACACACTGAGCACACAGAGGAAGAGAGCATCCATTATGATATAGTGCATTCGCACACAAACGCACACAAACACACACAGTCTCCCAGGCCAGTGCCACAGGTAAGGAGTTCCTGTGGAGGCTTTCAGCTGTGGCGCGTCTGCCGTCCACAAGCCAGATAACAGCGGCACGGCAATCACACCATGATGAATGAGCTGTGATAGGCACTGAAAATTGCTCCTTGGTGGCTTCCGAAGTTTGGTCCAGGGACTCTATTTCTCCAAAGTGAAATCAAAGCTCTGTGCTCAGCCAATTCTTTCTTTCAGACCCTCTTTCTGTTGTGAAAATATTGTCTCATTTGTACTCCCCCTGAACGAAAACACGCACACACACCTCCGTCGTCCCAAAGCTCTCGTGCCCTCCTGTGTGAAATGAACCGTTCCATCTGAATCCCAATCAGTCTCAATGAGACCGGAGTTGTTCAGTGACTATGGCTATATGTCCTTCTTTCCCTCATTCCCACAGCTCCACAGCTGATAAGCCAGACACTCAGAATAACACATTGGACCAATTGCCTCTGCTTACAGGCTACTTTGTGTCTTATCGTCTGATTAACAGAGAGGAGGAGGAGGAGCTGAGCAACAGACAGGCTTTGTGTGTATCGAGGGATGAAGAAAGGCATGAAACGCGGGCAGATGACTGAAAAGAAGAACGGTTTTATCCAGTTCCAACATGCATCTGTTTTTACACCTTTGATGCGATATCAAAGCTACAGTAAAACACACAAACTGAGCTTATAAACAGCATTATATTCTGCTCACAAATGTTTGAAATTACAAACACCTGCTATTCTAATTAAAACAGGTTGCTAATGAATTGATGAGCAATTAATCACTGTTAAGAATTGGATCAGTCAAGAATATATTACCTGTGCCACAACATTTGTGCTTCGCTTGGTGAGTAGCTCGATATGTGTTTCAGTGGCTGGACTCAGAGATCAATGACTCGAGGTCATTCCAACTGATCTGAAGTTTTTCTTCCAACAAAGTTCATTATGCTGTACCTGCTTTACAGGATTGTCCGATGTAAAATCTTCAACATTTTTGTCAAGTGGGAGTTACAGCCAACAGCGCATGACTCACCAAACATCCTGTTCATATGCTAATGAATACAACTCATGAATAAAATGCAATGTGGTGAGAATACAAAAAAAACATGCTAAATGATGAGAACTCTTGGAGAGAGATCAAGATGCAGTGAGAGGCAGCCAGGAGGAGGAGGATACGTCAGTGGGGTTTCTGCCCCAACTTCAAGTGTAGCCTCCCAGAGCAGCTCAACACATTAACGCTACCAAATCTGGACGGACGAAAACATCATGCAGATGAGTTTCGATTGAGGCATATTGAACCCTTTTTAATTAACAGAATGTTTTGGCTGCCCTGTGTGACAAGTGTCATCTGGTTTGTTCTCTAATAAGCCTATACAGTTTGCCTTTTCGTAATATAGACACGCAGAGCATGGGACATTTTGAGTGATAGAATTTTCCCTCTTATTCAAATAATGTTTATTTAATTTGTTTAAATGTCAGCTGCTTATATCAAGCCTTCAATGAGCAAAATAATTATTTTGTTAACTTATAATTAATACATTATATTATTAAAATTATATTCGTTAACAGGATTCATAGATAAGTGATAGTTAACACGGCTGGTAATTAAGAAGTTTATTAAGAACTGCATCCCTCATCACAGGTAGCAGAGTGAGGGTAGTGAGAACTAGCACTCACAGGATCTATATTTACAACAAAGGCAGAGAATGGCTGACATGGTGAATTATTAGCTCCTGCTGAAGCACTGTGATGTACCATCATCTGAAGTACTCAGGGCAAAACAATCGCACAGCAGCAGTTCCTCTGATCCCAAGAGGACTGAGTTTGGATCTGAAAATACAAAATGGCTTTTTGATATGGTAATTGTCTGTCAACCACAGAATGTCAGCCACATGGAGATCAGATGAGGAGTTGAGCCGATTACAATGATACACAACCCTGTTGATGTGTGCGTATCAGCGTGCATAGAGTAGTACTCACTAATATTGTCGTGATGGTAAGAGTAGTGTTGAAGAGTGTGTCCGTCACGTTGATTGATGGAAGCTTTCTCTCCATGGACAGTCCACCTTCAGAGTGCCACAGGCCAATCTGTGAAAAGGACACACACACACACACACACACACACACACACACACACACACACACACACACACACACACACACACACACAGATCAGTCACTAAGTCCATCAGTTGGAAAAGGCCAATAGAAACAACCTGTATTTAATTGCCTCTTTCCTTAAAGGACAATAAGTGTGACCTTCGTTGACGAAAATACAAGAGAGGGAGAAAGCAGTGGACAAATCACATTGTTTTGAGAAAAGGTGACAGCGAGAGTAAAGCAGTAGGAGAAAAATAAGACAACCTTTGTGTGGCTCCTTGAGGAGAAAACACAGGGCATGTGTTCAATCAGAGGCAACAGAATGCATTCATTAACCCAATTACCAGTCAATCCTGTGGCACAGAGCCACATTCTCATTTTCATTAGAGCTCAAGAGGGGATTCACACCTCCACCTCACATGGTGTCTTTCCTCCCATCCCCTATCAATCTGTCTCTGCCTTCATCGGTTTCATTCATTTATTTGTGTGACCCAAGTTTGTCAAACAACATGACGACAGACATGATAATTTTGTAACTCTATACTTATGCCTCTTGCTACTGTCAAATAGACATTTCTCTTAATAACCTCCATCTTACCATAATGTCCTTGACAAAAGAAAAATCTTGGCGATTTGTATTTTCTTACCTTGAATGATTTACACGGCTCCTCAAATGGTTGGAAAAATTCTGCAACCTTGAAGCTTATTAAAAACTGTGCAAGCACTGGATAAACTGAAAACATTCAAAGTTGTTAGGTTAAACCAAGAAGGTTTTTCCTGCCAGCAGAGCTTTGACTTTCCCTGCTATAACCAATTGACCCGTGATGATGAGCATGAGCGTTTTATTATTCTCACTCAATACATCTATGCTTGTGATTATATGGTAGGAAGTATGTGACCCTTGTGTCAGAACTACCAGCAAAACAATTTGGCTTTCCTTATCATGGTGGCTTCACAAGCTATAATTTCATTTATGTGGCTGGCGCAGAAACAGGCAATTTCAGTGTCAATATCAATCAGAACAGTTGCTCTATGTGTTGGCACAGAAGATAACCTCAGATATATCAAGATCAATGAAATATGCAAAATGTGTCTTTTTGTTAGTTTGCAAAACTAATCTCCTATAGGATTTGATGTACTGTATGAGGTGTATTCTAACAACTTGTGGTCAGGTATTTTTGTTTGAAATCATAGTCTGTCTTCTAATATGCAAAAAAACTAGGAAAAAGGCAGCAATTTTAAGTATTTTATAAAAAAAATAACCTGTGAGGCTCATTGAGAAACATAATGGTGACAATTTCAAAACACTGTTTTTGGTCATTTACATTCAAACTCTGTTACCTACCTCATTATGTAAACATTGCCACCTCTGTCTGGAGAGAAATAATATCCCTTATCTTAATAATCAACCTCCCTCCATTTTTAATATTACAGTGTATGTACGAGGAATAAATGAGAGAATATGGCATTTCATTTAGCCTTGATACATTGTTGATGTGAAGCTATCTACAGTATGACAATGAAATGAGTTCTCGACTACATGCTGGAAAGCCTTTGGGAGTATTCATGTTTGGAAACCAGAAGATGAACAGTTGGATGATCAGTGATTGAAGTCTGAAATGAAAAGAAAAAAAACTACAGTAAACAAAGCTCTCATTTCTTGGTCATAGTTTGCTTCAGGACTAAATCGCCCTAAAATTATCAAGGGATTACGGCCCATTCATCATGATCAGTGCCTGCATTTGGAAGCTGTTTAACCACTCTCTCCAGCTCTGATCATAAATTCTGATGTGAGGTACAAAAAAAAAGAAAAAGGAAGAGAGAGTTCCCGGAATCAAAGATTTCCTTTGAGAGTACATAATCAAAAGATCTTGCCTCCCATTTCCTCAGGTTTGCTTGTTGGGAGAAACAGCACCTTGATCACACAAATAGACTATAGCTACCCAAACCTCTTGAACAACACACTATACACTCCTCTGATGACGGCCTCAAGAAACAGAGAGGTAGAACATGTGTGCGTATGGTGGCACGACCAAAAAAGAACCTGGGAAATATGGAGTTCAGCAATCAGCGTACATAATCAGTTGACAGAGCCGGTGGGGGGTGGACTACTTCTGGGCTCAGCAGGTGTCAGCAGAGGGCTGCGCATGGGGGTGACTGAGAGGTTAATGGGATGGGGTGGCACCACGACTCCTGCCCAGGAACAGGAGGTGAGAGAGATGTGGGAGCTGTGAGCAGGAAGGGAGAAGAAGAAGCATATGCTGGCGGGGGAGGAACTAGCTCTGGTGGCCCTGTTGCAACCTGAGCTTTGAAGGGGAGAGAATAGAGCTGTACTATCTGTGAGTCACTCAGACTAACAGGTAGGAAGATGTATACATCTGCTAATATAAGCAGGGAAGCACGGCCGGGAGCAAACCCACCGTTACAGTCATCATTTAGACTGAAAACCTTATACGGTAACTATTTAGTAATAATTCTGTAGGTTGTGCAAATTACAACGGATTGCTAACCATTGCATTAATCTTGGTGAAGCTACACCACTGAACCATTGCATGATATCTCATTATACTCGCAGCACAACCCAAACATCGATTAGACTCATAAGCTTCCTCATAGAGAGAAGATGCTGCACATTGCCAAATATATATGCAAAATAATATGTTTATCTACTTGATGTTTCTCATTTCAGTGTCATTATTTGGGTATTTAAACTGCAATTACAATCAATAACCACAGTGCAATACAAGCAGGGAGTCTAGGAAACAAATTCAGACAAAGTTCAGACTGTTGACGAGTACTGTGCACTATTTATTGTACTGAGGAGTAGGCTGGCAGGAAGAAGAATCACGAATAATAAGAGAGAGGGGAATAGGAGCAGAGCAAAAGGAAAAGACTGAGAGAAATAGAAATATGCAGGGGAATGTCAATCTTTCACTGAGTAGGTGCGGTGAGGCTGACGAACGGAATGAAAATCAATGAGAAAGTATGGGGAGCAGCCAGCTAGGGAGCCAGAACATCAGGCGGAGAGAACAAGGGAAAGAGACAGCATCTGAGAGTCAGAAGACAGACAGAGAGGTGGAGAGAGAGTTTCTGCGAGTGAAAAATAAAGAGCAACAGCGAGGGAGCAAGGTAGAAGAGAGAGACCGACAGGGAAAGTGACAACAAGTGCAACGGCGTTCCCTGGGAGGGATTACCCAGGGTTCATTCCGCAACCTGGAATTACAGCACGGGGAAAAGATTAGGGAGGCTGCTCATTGAAGCGTCAGGATTGGCTGATTTTCCTGTCAGAAGAATGCCGTATCCAATAGGGTGTGGCGAGACAGTGTTGTGACAGAGCCATCCATCACATATGAGAGAAGCAATAGCTACCATTATCAAGCATAATGTCATACAGCCCACTTACACCCGGGCTAAAGCATTCAGGTGTCACAGCGCTGCAATGAGTCTGACTGAGGACGGAAATGTGTGTGTGTGTGTGTGTGTTTACTGTCTGTTAGCGGATGTGTGAATTGCAGAGGCAAAATAACCTTGCGGGCCTCTGAGGATGGACTTTTATTGCTCTTATAGCTACGTTATGCCACCTCAGCTTGATGAAAAAATGCTGAAGTAGATGCAGTTTCTACCCATCAGCGAACATTACCACTTGTTGAATCAGCAGCTATCTACCGCTTAAAATGTATATTTAGAGCTAACCCACTCTGCCTCACAATGATCGCATTGTTCAAATGACGTATGTTTTCTCAATGGAATAAAGAGTGAGATAAATAGCTTTTTTTTTTTAACCAAAACTCTCTCTGGTGTGACTCATCAACTGGAATGAGAATAATCAGGATGGTGCTTTAGGCAAACTTCATGGTGTGAGACAGAAAGAGGTGGTGGTGTAGGTGGTCGACACTTCCCTACAGTAAAGATAGTTTCAGGCAAAATAATATCATTGAAACTCAAGTCCCAATTGAAGAAAAATAGGTAGATTTTTGGTATTTCCTCTTATGCCTGGCAGCGAAAAAAAGCAAGAGTATTGAAAAAGTGGACGACTTTTAAAAACTCTTTTATCAAACTCTAAACTGTGATTTGCGCTGTAATTGTTGTTTCTGAATATAGACACACAGATCCACACAAACGCCGTCTTTTCAGCACACTCATTATTTGGCATTATGGAACTAGTCGTTCAGTCCTAGTAATGAGACTCTAACTCTGGGATGAAAAGAAGGTCTTTCATCTGTCAGAGCAGATCTTCAAAGCAGCGCTCCATGTTCTCCAAGTGCTGCATCCCTAGTGAAGCACACAGCAAACAATGGATGTCCTTCCAGCCACAGTCCCTGCTCAGTCTGTGTACCCCACATTACTGACTGTCCAAATGTCCTCATCTCTAGCGACCGTGTTACTGCAGACGTACTCTTAACACTAGGGGAAAGAACAAGACCTTTAGGGGTGTGTTCGCTTATTAACTTAGTCTAATCCTAATCTTCATTATCCAAACTGAAAGTCTAATGACAAAGAGTGTCTGGACAGACTGTAAGTCCCCTTGAGGCAAAAAACCCAACTGGCAATATGAAAACTACCATCTGAACTTAGTCTTTTAGATAGTTATTACCGGGACAAATGACTCTGCAGTAACAGTCAGGTAATTATCACCTCAAGCTATAAGTGACAGTGATGGAAACCAATGGGTTGGACACATCTTTTCAGGCGAAATGATATGCTATACTGTAGTTTAACAATTATTACAATAAACTAATATAATATTAAATAATATGCCTCGAAGATGGAGAGAACTACAATGTTTTGGCAAAGTTATAGAAGGGTGCATCATAAGGATGATATCACTGTGGTCCTTCTTGTGAGGGGGTCATGAGTGAGTTTAACTAAAGGAAATCATTTTATCTTGACAAGAGCATTGTATTTGCTTATTTGCTCAAATTTGGCTTTGTATTTCTTTTAAATGTATGTAATATTTTGTTACTATTACTCCCCTGCATACTTGAGGC